TATAAGCTAGAAAGAAGATGGGACTTTACTAAATTTACTTATTTAGTAAAAGAAATGAATACTGAATATACTAAACTTCATATTTAATTTTCTAGGGACATTATAGAACAGATAGTCTAAAAAGCATAAGGCACAAAAAGATAAATGCATTAAAATCTCTAAAGATATAAACAAGTTCTACAAATTTCACCAAAAAACTATTACAACTAATATTAATAATGTTCTTACAGTGTTATTGAACTACTGTCAGAAGTGTTTTTGTCTATTCATATATATATTTTTATTGATTTTGTCATTTTGTTTAAAAATTAGCAGCTACTTGTTGACGCTTTAAAGTAAAGACAAAGTTCTCATAAAAGATTCACCATGTTCTTCGATTAATTTTTCATTTTTTGGCCTTAACTCTCTCCTCTCAGGCTGGAGTTTTGGGTGTAGTTTGGTCTGGTTCCTGGGGAGGGCGCTGTTGCATAAAGACTGGACATTACATTGTGCTCTGAGCTCAGCAGGAGTTTGAGAAGCTGAACAGAATGGTGGATTTGTTTCCGATTTAGGGCTAAATTTCAAAAGCGATGACGCCGAACGAGCTGCTATTAACACTTGTGTCATTTGTCAACACTCCAATGTGCCTAGTTTCAACAGCTCGCCCGACGCTGCCAACGCACAAATAATTTTACTAATGAAAAATCATAATGGGCGAATGAAAAATCAGCTCATATTCTGAAAATTTGAGATTTCAATTTGACGATCCTTTGTGTAACTTTTCTCGTGGAGGGTCCGTCAAAAGCTTTTCGTGGCAGAGATATTATTACTTTGTCTGGAATGTCTCACAGTATGGCTTTAAACCTTTCTGTCGTCACGGAGACCAAACTAGAGCAAGTTACAGGTCAGATCTGGGAAGAGGCGAGCCCACTCACAGTCAGAACGCATGTTTTTCTCGATACTTTGAGCTATAAAACCATCTGGAATTGAATAAATGTAAAGTAGAGCATGTAAAGTTTAATGCTATACTGTGGGACATTCCAGGCAGAGCAATGACGTCTCCATAGAAACAAGCAGGTGACGAACTCCCAACCAAAAAGTTACAGAGTGCAACTTTAATAGGCATTTGACAACTCTAGTTAAGATGAATTGCCAATGTTTTTTTTTCTTGTGTTTTTTTTTTTTTTTGCATATAAATTTAGATCAAATTTCTCAACTTTTATTTCATATCAACACTAATTTCCAAGTGACAGTGGCGTAGTTGAATAAGCATGCCCAGCCACCAGAGGGTAATTGGTTTAAACCTCACCTGAACGCACACTGGAATTGTGCCGTTGGGCCGGACACTTCCAACACCCAAAGCCAACTCCAGTGACAACAAATGTGCTATGCTATTTCCGCAATCACAGTATTTTTCTCGTTTTGAATTTCGTAGCATTTTTTATTTGCATCCTTTTAAAATCAAGCTCTAAAACTTTTCAACTCCACCATTTCACGGAGTTTTGTTTTTGTTATTTCGTTTTTTTTTATGCCGTGGTCTGGCGATGGCTGAAATCGAGATTGCGTTCTCTTTCCCGCTGCAGTAAAGTGCTCAGAAACGCCGTGAAACCAGGTGAATTTTGGGACATTTGTGAATTGCCGTAGCAACAGTGCACAGCCACAATCGCGTCGTATTTTGATCCTGAGAACCAAATGGCTTTTCATAATCCTACTCCAATTCTCTCTCACACTTTCATGATACCCACAAACAAAACAAATACAACGCTATCTAACTAATAATAACTAACTAAATGCTACAACTTAACACATCGTCTTGATTGGTTGAGACATTCGTTCGATGTGGAAAAAAAAAAAAAAGAGAAAACGATGATTAACTCATAAGATGCGCTTCACTGCGTGGTCGAGGTAGTGAGAGCCTGCTTTGGGATTGGCTAATTCAAGTCTAGAAAATGAAAACATGGTTAAGAGATTTTTGGAGATTTTTTTTTTTTTGATTAGGCGCTCAGGTCAAAGTTGGAAAACGAAAACATGCTTGGGACTCATTTACATTTGCATAAACCAGCGGATTCGTTTCCAACGGTTAGAAAAATAACATCGCGGATTCCAACTTTTGAGATACTGTGCACTGCTGCTGGCTCGCGGTCAAGGCAAGAACGTGAAACACCTTCGGAAATAAGTCTGCCTCTCGTCAAATCCGTGCGAAAAATAGTGCAACATTTTCAGCATTTTTATAAATAAGTCTTAATCGTGCTTTCTCTCGGCTTGCATACATGTTTCAGAGCAGGTCGATCATGTATGGAGCTCGTAAACGCTAATGGCTTACAAGATTTTCTCTTCTAAAACTACGACATAGAAAAGCAAAGTTTAGAAAAATATGCCTACTTTACATAATCTCACTTTTATCCCCCTGTGGTGAACAGTTTTGTGCAAACCTTCCTTGGGAATTTATACAGCGGCGGCTCCGATTGGTCGAAATAAGGCGTGGGCACAGGCTGAGTGAAAATACTGGACCAAAGGACGGTGTTGTCGTCAGTAAGGGAGGTTTTTTTTGCAGTTATCTGTAGCCACATACTAACCGGCGACGCTACTGAATACATCCTACAAAGGCATTATTATGATCATCTTAAAAGTCCTATATGACACAAAATTTACTGGTAGATCGGTAGAATGTTGTTACCTTCTCAAAAACATGGAGTTGTGTTTTGTTTCTTTCACACATGTTTGAGAAACTCTGTAGTTTTCACCGTATCACCGAAACAATTTGTGTCCAGACACGTTGTTTCTGTGTCCGCAAGCCTTCTCTATCCACACAGCTTTGAGCATATTTGTTTACGTTTTACAGAAATTAAAGTTAAAACTGCATGGATATTTTGAATAAACTGAGAGCTCAAAAAAAACAGCTCGTTATTGTGCGCTGATGCGGTTCAGCTTCTGTCGGACTAAAGGACACGACTCAGTGGAATATGAGTGTTCTTTCTGGGACAGAGGGGTGTTCTGCTGATGGTGAGTCTGTTCTGTGTTTCTATCGCGTAAACTTTTCAGAGATTATACGTCTGCAGGTCGTACGCACAGACCGTATATATGAATGGACACATATTCTAGCCCAGGGGTGTCCAAACTTTTTTTCATCAAGGGCTACAAATCTAAACACAAATAAAGCAGAGGGCCAATCAAGAGCTGTAGACTGATGCTCAATACAGTGAAGAATTGAAATATGTACATGTTTAACACGTTAGAATGAGCCATCAGTCTTTATTTATGCTAAGATCCTTAAAACCACATACTAAATATTAAATATTAGATTTCTCAAGAGAGATTTTCAAACAACTTTGAGTAAAAACTTAATTTTTAATTGAAGCAAGGTCATTTTGGGCCAATTCACCTGGAAGCCTGAGGGCCAAGAAAAAATTGTCTGAGGGCCGCATTTGGCTCACGGGCCATAGTTTGGACAGGCCTGTTCTAGCCTCTTTACTTCGCAGTGCATAGACCTACATCAGCATATCAGCGTTTTCAGGCATCCACACAGGGCCGGATCAGATCCCTACTCAAATTTGTGGGAGCTGGAGCTATTTTCCATCAGATTAGTGTGAACGAACACTGCATCCACAACGAAAACGATTCGAATACATACTAGTGCGGACGGGGCTTTTGTTCAGTAGAGATTGTAAATCCTAGAGCTGAAATTATCTGAATTATTTTAGTGATGATGTATGGAGTTTAAAAAGAGAGAGAATTTGAGAGAAGAACTTTGGATTTGTGAGTTAAACGTTTGAATGAAACAAAACACAACTCCGGGTATGTTTTTGATGAGGAAACATTATAACAACAATATAGACCCTTTAACTAATGAGATATATACAGCTACACATGTTAGTAGCAGAAATATCCATAGTTTCGATGTAAAAATCAATTAGGATTTTTACAATTACAAAAAGTACAATTTGATTTTAACAAGCCAATTATAATGCTGCATTCTGTTGCTCTTGGGACTTGGGGAAAACCGACCTCCACCTCGAGAAAGTGCAATCAAATCGAGGTTCCGAAACACAAACTCGGGCTAGTCGGTCGGACATTAAACTTTCTCGGGCGTCCATATTTTCCCCAACTGCTGCAATGGAACGAATCTACAACAAAAGTCGGGAGAACTGACTCGGATTTATCGACTCCCGACATTCAATAGAACTTAGAACTTAGAATAGAACATTGCATTTGTCTCATTGGTCCATTATTTACGCAGACTGTGGGAAGAACCTCCATTTGGGAAGACTTTCAGCACTTTTGCTACATCTAGTTTGCTATTTTTTACAACTTCTCTAGCTACGTCTAAACTGGAAGCGCTAACGTGCTAAAAAGTCAGCCAGGAGCCGCTGCCGTGGACTGCAACTTAGAATGCGTTCAAAAGCAGCAAAATGGAGATTATCGTTAAGAAAACAGCCGGACAGAGTAGACAGATTGCAACGTTTCGCTATGATAGGAATGAAAACAGGTAAATATTTATAAAGAAGAAGGTGGCGGCAAGGTAGGGGGCGCCGTTTTGCCACATTTACCATCCGAGGTTCGACGTAAGTGCTTTTATTTTTTTCCATGGAATCGGCCAATCGGCATGCTCGATTTCCCTCGCTTCCTTCCTTTCGTTTTCCTTTCAGACATTTTGTGGTTTGTGGGGCTTCTCTTTGCTGTTCTTGCTGTTGCGTTGGTCCGTGGAGCCCCGGAGCAGGCCGTGTATGAGGGAGTGTGGCGGGGAGGGGGCAGTTCTGGTGCTGGGGGGGTTAGCAGTTCGATTGTGATTGGCCGGTAGATTTGGCGGGGGATAGAAGTGTCCGATGATGACCTCGCTGTACGTGGGAGGGGCTCCGTCTACCCTGCTGGAGTGTTTGTGCTGGCGGGACTCCTGTGCTTCCATCACGCTCATGCCGGAGTGGACACTAGGGGGCGGTAACTGCAAACTGTAGCACAACACAAAGGTACAAATTAGTGTTTTTGCGATTTTAGCGTTTCGTGATTTTTACTTCATCTGCCATGTGGTAATGGTCCGTGTACCGTTCGCTCTTCTGAATTTCAATTAAGAATGAAAAAACTGTTTATTTTATTTTTACGTTTTTGTATCAAACAAAAAAAAACAGATTTCGACCTCTTTTTCCAATATTTAATTTAAAGTTTATCTCAAACAAACAAGTCTTAAAACAGCCTGTTTTAATTTTGATATTTTATTCTCTCTGGTTTATTTGCCCCGGAAGTTCTGCTGCAGTGTCAACCATGGATCTATAATTAAAACAATTTTTATTATAATTCTGTGGTGTGAACTGAGCAAAGGAGAGTTTATCGCTGCTTCCTGTTTCTCGTCAATAAAATGAGTTCAATAATGACTTTCTAGGACATGAAAGTAAACGCATCCTATAAAAGAAGACGAGCTTTCAGGTAAGTCCTTCTAGTAACAGAATTTCTGGGGCAAATAAACCAGAGAGAAGAAAATATCCAAATTAAAATAAGCACTGTTTATTATCTATTAAAATAGAGTGGTTTTGATTGGTGTTATTTGTTTTTTTGTTTTTTTCTTTTTCTGTTTTGTTTTGTTTGTCTTTTTTAAACTAAAGTGGAATAATGAAATAATTAACTGTTTTCCCATTTTATTGTTTTTCATTCTTAATTGAAATTAAAAAAAAAAACAATACTGATAATAAAGGCTTTTAATTATTTTGCATTTCTCAGTGCTTCCACTTTTTCAGCTTTGTATTTTTCATGTTTTTATCTTGTGTTGAGTTTAATGGAAAGCCCTTTGGTCACCTTGAGTGTTGTTAAAGTTTCTATTAATAAAGATTGATTGCTGATTGATTGATAAATGCATCTGACATAAAGGTGCACTATGTAACTTTTCTTTGACCTTAACTGGAATATTCCACCGTACGACATGAATCTATCCTCCATTTATTTAATTACAGGTGTTTTTATTGCTGAAAATAAATGTTGGCCTACGTGAGCTGGGTCAATTCTCCACAGATCTGGCTTAAACTACAGCTTATTGTTGTTTTTATTGCTCAAAAACACCTTTAAAAACATGAATTCTTGCTCTGAGTTGCGTCATCTCACCTGTAAATTGGCCTGGTGGTATTTTCTGCTTTTCTCTATGGGGGTTTCTAAGTTTTAATGCAAATTTTGGAACATTGCAGGCAAAGAAATGACATATCTGTGGAGATAAGCAACCGGCGGGCCCTCTATCAGAAAAGTTACATAGTGCACCTCGAGAAACACCTGATTTCTTTACTAGAAGGAGAAAGAATGCGCTTCCGTCTCTTGTGGTACTTCGTCAGATCCACATTTTCACAGGCTCGCAAAGTAAACACGCTTTGTGAGGCAGGTGTGGGAGCTAACCGCAGTTATGGAAATACTAATTGGGCGAATTTACAAAATGAGAGTCACCATAATTATAATTCCTGTTCCTGAGGTCGAGTCGTCAAGGAATACTTTAATGAAGCTCGTAAGAAGTCTGTCCAATAACACCACAACACTGCAATAATTATCAAAGGGTTTAACTGTGAGTCTTAAGAACTTGTTTACAATATTCACTCGGCTGCATCTTCAAGCCAAGAGTTCAAAACGGTGCCAAACTTTATTATTATGCCATTTCCCAGCGCTAAACCGGCGTCTGCGTTACACAATAATTACTGACTTATCACTGGAGGTGAAGAGGCTTGAATAAATAACAGATATGACGCTTTAAAGATACAAACTCATCACTTAAGTGTTCTGTGAAGTTATCGCAGCTCGTGCTTTTTGACACCGCGATACATTCAGATACGTAACTGCTGAACATTTACCCATAGACATAGATGCAGTACCTCTCCCGACATGATGTTATACTAAATTAAGTCACTTTTTCAGCTCTTAATGCTGTAGAGAGCAGATTTTTAAAGGTACAACTCTTCAATGTATTATATATTTATGTTTATTTATTATGTTGTTTAAAAGTATCACACTTAGGGGTGTGCAAAAAAATATCAAAATCAATATATCGTATTGTTTAATGTGATGATACAGTATCGATATCGTGGGCTGCTGTATCGATATATATCACCAAGAGTATTTTTTGGTGTATTTTACTAAGTTATTTTGTTACAGCGCTACTGTTTTGTTGCTTGTTTAGTGGAAGGAAACTCATTTATGCAGCACATTTAACAAATTCACTATTTTAAGGATTAAAATGTGTGTGTTTGAAATTGACTTTGCACAAGAAGTGGTTAAACAAAGACTTTTAGTATCACAGCCATGACTGGCCATATCAAATCGATTTGAAATATATCGTATCGAAAGTGAACCGTATTGAGATATGTATCGTATCGTGGCCTATGTATCAAGGTATGTGTATCGTATCGGCAGCTTCTTACTGATACCCGGCGCTAATCACACTACATCTATATCGTCTCCAAATCCTAAATATATCACACTTCACACAATTGTCATCGTCACACTCCTTATATATACTTGTAGAAGTCGTGACTTGGACTTGAGTCAGACTTGAGTCACTATTTTTAGGATTTGAGACTTGACAAAATGGACGAAGACTTGGGACTCGACTTGGACTTGAAGGTCAGTAACTTGGACTTGACTCGGATTTAAGGCCTGTGACTCGAGAAGCACTTTTAAATCGGATTTTTTTTCTATTTTCACTGTAATGATTCACACTAAGATCTTGTCAAGACATTTAAAAAGGAAACATTAAAATTCCTACAACTCTTACATACTCTAGAAATACTCATACATAAATATACTATGATTTTTTTATGTACAATTTATCTTAAAAGTCATATAAATGGCAAAAATCTACTTTGGTTTAAAGACTTGAAATGACTTGAAGCTCAAAGCAGACGACTTGGACTTGACTTGGACTTAAGGGCCAGTGACTCAAGACTCGACTTGGACTTGCCTGTATTTGACTTAGGACTTGACTCCGACTTGAGACTTACAAAAAAACAACTTGGTCGCTACTCTGCCTCCGTGTTTTACTGTTACATTATTGTGAAGTGCCTTTGTGTTACCATGAAAGTCACAATATAAAACCAGTTTATTATCAGTTTTATCACACTTTCTTCCTCACCTGTTGTGCGTGCAGTTGCCGTGCGTCACCAGTTGCGAGTCGAACACCGTGCGGTTAGGGGGCGCTCTCACCGACTCCCTGTTGAGCTCCCTCTGCTGCTCGGGGTCCCTCAGCTGCAGCGTGCAGGGCCCAGCGTACGGCGGGGGCTCCTCCCCGTCCGACAGCGCGATGGTGGGGGGCAGTTCGATGACGCCCCGGGGCAGGTAGGGGTAGGTGGGCTGGAACCTGCTCGCCCCGTACGGAGACTGGAAACGCGTGGGCACCGAGGAGGGCTGCAGCCTGTCCGGGGGCCGGGCGCTGTACACCTGTGGCTGGGAGACAAGAATGTGACGGTTAGACGCGCGTTATGTGAAGACCTGTCATTAACCCGTCTTTTTAAATGTCTGCAATTGTCGTTAACGTTGACATTTAGCTGTTTTAAAAGTCTACTGTCTTTACTTTGAGTCTTTACAAGTTTAAGACCACAAGGACCACTACGGAAGCAAGAGAAATCACCACTGATACTAGTCTCTGTGCTCTTATACTTGTTCTAATAAAGCTCAAGATCATTTTAAAACTTCAGGAAAGGTTCATTTCTGTCTGTGAATGTGACTTTTTTAATATCAATACCTACTCAAATGACAATCTTGTTTCGATACAAGTTTTAGTATTGATTAATATTAGATTTTTTGATACTTCTGACAACCCTAAAGCGCGTATGTATTTTTTTAGTGTACCACAAAACAAGTTCTGCTTTTTATGTTTGTAATAATGTTGGATATTTTGGTATACATCGTGTGGGCGTGTTGTGGGCGACTTTGAGCAAATGCAGTAGTTTATATTTTGCTAACGTAACACATTTTAAGCAAAAATCTAAGTCACTTTTTAGCCAAAATATAATCTAAACGAAAGCATGTTTTGTTGCAATAAAAAACCTCTCCACAAACCTGACTTTTACTTGGACTGACAGAAGGCCTGCACCTGCTTGTCTCCATGGAAATTTAGTTCTTTTGACCATAATATTCTATCAACTGGTTTCACTTCATGGAAACCGTCTGACCTCAAAGCATTAGGATTCATTCGCTCGACGGTAGGCGGGGAATTTTTAACCAGTCGCTGTTATTTGGTCGTGACGTATGTAATGTGCCAAATCCTGTAGGAAGAAGGACAATAACGTCTTTCCTCTTGATAAAATTCACCAAACGTTCTCTTTGTTCCTGCTTTAAATCCTCGATCTCGGGAATCGTTGCCAACACAGAATGTCTGTCTTCATCTAAATCCATCTCGACCGCTTTGTTTACCGTTGTAAGTAAGCAAGTCTTTATGTATATAGCGTTTTTCACAGACATATGTCACAAAGACGCTTTACAGAGCATTTATAGATTCATTATTCTTTTCTTTTCTCCACACCCGGTGATGGTGAGCCCTCCGACCACCACCATCACTCACGCACACACCACTTTCATACTTGGCAATGTGGGTGAAGTGTCTTGCCTAAGGACACAACGACAAGTTTTATGACTGGTTCCCCACAAAAGGGATCCAGACAGGCGCTTGAGTTTGGCGTCATGGCTTCACAGCTCTTCACTGATTGGCCGGTGCGCGGTCTACAACGTCTGAGGTTCTTGCAAAACGTCTAGTGTGTTCCGATCAATGACCTCGTCGCTGGAGAGAAATGAAACTGAGCGGAGGCACTATTTAGCGCCAACCTGGCCGGTAATATTACACAGTATGAAATAAAACGTGTCCGTCTACATGAATGTTCTTAAGATTTTATCTGTCTAATTCCGTGACTCATGCAGGTGAGGCCCCGCTTCCAGAAAGTTACACTGTGTTGCTTTAAATGTTCAACTTACCTCGTTGATGGGCACGTTTGTCCCCTCTGAGGACCACAGACCGGCCTCCTGTAAAAGATCACATGGGTTCATTCACTTTCAGTTGAATCTTTTACATTATCTGGAGCAACATTTGGAACTGAATTAGAAAACTATAAAACTTGTTTTCTCCTTACAACTCTTTTTTACAACTGAGATATACTTGTTTTACTACATTTTAATTTATTTATATTATTCTACCTTATTTGCACAAGTCTCTTTTGTTATTTCTGCTACTTATTTTGAACTTACACCATTTATATTTTTGCTCTTTTTTATTATAATATACTGTGTTGTGTGAGTTACTGTGTCCAAATAATTTCCCTTGTGAATCAACAAAGTTTGCCTAAGTCTAAGTCTAAACTGCTTTGAACTCGTGCCCTGTTTTAGTCTACTCCTCCCACTTCCAGCCAGATGTTATCTTCAGATCAGGTGTGCAAAGTAGACATCTAGCTGATCTTTTGAACCATTCATGCAGCACTAATGAAACTGGAAGTCGGCCAGAGTATTTGCATATGAAGTCAAAAACCAGTCGGACGGGTCTGGGAGCCAACTGCACTTATACAGGTAATGGTTTTAGGGTGAAATTACGTAGGAATTTATTTTACATAGCCAGGCTTGTGAAACTGTCAGAACTGTTGATTGTTAAAAATTTCAGGTTCTTTTGGTGTTATTGTCTGCTAATGTTAAAGTCAATTATTATAGAAGAATGTATGAGTCAGCGTTTAGAATATTTTTAAAGAGCCTATATTGTGCAAAACTGACGCTTGTGAGCTTTAAGCCATGTTACAATGTTGTTGCCTCATCGAAAACATTAACTGGAGTTGTGTGTTTTGTTCCATTCACACAGTAATTTGAGTAATTTTGCATTATTAGTCTACAGCTCCAAAGCTCAAAACACTCCGTTCCACTTTGTGATCTCATGAAGCAGTGGTTTTCAAGTTAACAACTTGAAACAACAACTTAACTTTTACCTTTTTGCTATGTTTATACGATGACGGTCTGAACAGAAGATGCAAAAGTGGCGCCGCGTCTTTACTTTTTATTCCGTGTTTAGACAAGCGTTTTCGGGAGGAAATCTGCGTGCATACGGTGATGCAAAAGTGTGTGGAATTGTCAGGTTTCTGCGTACTGTACGTATGCGGCATAAACTCGTACGCGACGTGAGTGAGCAGATCTGACCAGAGCTTTGCGTCTTGGGCAGTGTAGACGGAAACGCTATGGCGGAGAGTATTCAACTTTTCCACTCTGGAGGGTGGTTTCAGATTCAAAAACTCCATCGCCATCTAAACCAGACATGTCAAACTCAGGCCTGGGAGCCAAATTGGACCCACGATATAATTGTATTTGGTCTGCAATTTCATATCATATCGCCGGCTACAGATTATAGATACATTATTTATTTAAACTTGTGTTATTATTTTATATTACGCTTTTTCTGGATTCAATGTTTAAGCAAAACTATAACTAAACATTTATTTTAATTAGAAAAGGTTTAGCATTACATATCTCGAAAGAAGAGAAAAAATGCAGATGTTGCTGAAATTTTCCATTTAAATATTTAGTTTGGCCCATAACTTAGTCCCAGTTTTTAATTTTGGCCTCTGTGAATTTGAGTTTGACACCAACGCTCTAAACAAAAGGCACTTCAGATAAAATATTTTGTTGTTTTTACCCGCAAGCGTTCTTTTGTAAACAGGCCCTTAGTTCAGTGGAGATTGGCGATTCCGGGGCTGAAATCATCCAAATTATTCTAGTGAAGGTGTATGGAGTTTAAAAACCCAATGGAGCACTTCCTGTATCACCAAATGACATCACAAGGTGTAACTGGGTGTTTTCTGTTGGCGAATAACTCCGTCTAAATATGCAGTTTTTGTGTGTTAAACGTGTGAATGAAACAAAACACAACTCCCGGTCTGTTTGTGATGAGGAAACAACATTATAACATAAATCAGAACATTTTGTAAAACGGGCCCTTTAATACTTTTGTAACTGCAGCTCGTTAGATCTTTTTCCAGCGAGAACATAACATTATGATAATTATTTAAGGTTTGGCAATGAGCTCAGAACACTTGGTTTAAGTGTCTCCAAGACTTGGTTTTCAAGCCAAAAATAGCTTCAGTCCAACGTATTAATACATTCACAGAGGAATTGTGGATGCAAGATTAATCACAATCAAATCAAAATTGCAATTTGAGTGGTTGTAATTAGCAAATCGCAAAGGCTGCATTTTTGAAGTACCATAATTTCCTCCACAAACAACAAAATCTGTGACTGTACCAAACTCTCCACCTACAAGAAACTGTATTTACAACTGTTTTAATGGCTAAACTGCTTTTAAATCATGCCTATATTTTATCTGATTACCTTTTTTTACCTTTTATTTTAATTGTATTCTTTGTACAGTATCTTTAAGTGTAGAAAAAGTAGTAGTAGTAGTAGTAGTAGTAGTAGTAGAAAAACCCTATATAAATAAAAAGTAATATTGTTATAGTATGAAAATATCCTGTCTGTTTCTGCATAAAAACCCTGTAATTCAGATCTGTACAAACATGTTCAGAAATGTGATTCGCTTCCGTTCACATTTCAGTGTTTTTGTTCATTCTTCTAGACACGATTTTGAAAAATATTATTAAATCATTAAAGCAAATACTCAAATTTTGCCGCTTGTCAGAAAGTTCACAACAGAGGTGGGACCAAGTGTTTGTCTCAAGTAAGTCTCAAGTCTTTGACCTCAAGTCCGAGTCAAGTCCCAAGTCAAAGACGGGCAAGTCCAAGTCGAGTCTCGAGTCACTGGCCCATAAGTCCAAGTCAAGTCCAAGTCGTCTGCTTTGAGCTTCAAATTATTTCAAGTCTTTAAACCAAAGTACCACATATAGCTTAGATTTAGAAATTGTACTTTAAAAATCATAGAATATTTATATTTNAGACCGTCTAATGGATGATACGAGCAGACTGATCGAAGGCTTTAGTATGAGCTTTAGCCATGTTAGACCGAAACCAAAACCAACAATCGATTCTGATGCTATAGACGAAGAGCAGATTAACTTCAATGCTGCAAGAAAGCAGTTTGTTCAAATGGAGCAAAATAAGATAGACCCCATCATACGGCCACGCAAAATTCAAGTGAAGACATCACCCAAGCTAAAACCAGATGCTGCAGTGCTAAGAGAAGAAATAAAGAGAGAGGAGCTAGTGTTCAAACCAAGCGTGGAAGATAGTGTTGATGCAGAAGTGAAGGACGATCGAAGTAGCAGTCATAGTCGACAAAGCAGCTATATGGAAGAGTCAGATGGACTTTCACTAAATGTCAGCTATAGCAGCATCGATGTGCTGGCCCATGAACAAAACCAAACAGGAAATAACACATTCCAGTTTAATGTAGAGCCCGAGACGCCAATTGAACGAGAGATACGTATTACTCAAGAACGTGAGGAGAACTTGCGTAGATCCAGGGGCCTGCAGAGTAGCGTCAGCGAAATGGTCGAAATCAAAACCAAAAGATTGCAGTTGCTGACGCCGCTAACACCTTCGCGAGTCAAAGATAAGGGTAAAGCAAGTTCTATCTTCCAAGAAATCCAAAGAAAGGAAGAAGCAATCAAGCAAGATGCTGCTGCACAAGAGTTAGCAGGTCGAAGCCTTGAGCGAGCAAATAGTTACGATGTTCTTCATTCCAACGCTAACGAGGATAGAGCGAGTTTTATCTTCCAGGAAAGAAAGGGAGAAGCAATCAATCAAGACGGCGTAACACGAGGGTTTCCAGGTCCAAAGCGTGAGCGGGCTAATAGTTATGACATCCTGCAGCCCAAAGCTCACACTAATGAGAGTAATGGTACCAACGCCTCTGAGCAGAAAGCAAAGCTGGATGTTGTTGACTATGCTTTACAAAAGCAAAATTACACCGGTCAAGATGGAAGCAAAACCGATGATCGACAAAGTTATACCAAGCAAGTTCAAGGGTATGCTGAACCATATGTGCCTGGAGAAAGGCGAGTAGAAAGATACAGCTACACCAAGCAAAGTGATCAGGTACTGGCAAGAAATGGGGAATTAGAAGGATTTAAAAGCTTTGAAGAAAGATGGCAAACTCAAAATGGAGACAAAATGGAAAATGGTTTTAAAAGCGTTAGCACTGAAAGGTCTGAAGACGTCTTTCCATTGTCATGTTGTCCTCACAAACATCCAGAAGATTCAGATCCAACTAGACCGGAGCAGACTCCAGCATGGAGGGACAGTCTGGAGAGAACAACAGGTCTGCACAACAGAGGGCAGGGGGGGTCCCTGCTCATTGAGAGAGACATTGAGGAGGCTCTGAGGAGGGAAAAGGAGCTAAGGGAGCAGAGGGAGGCTCAGGTGAGACAAATGTATTCCCTGCAGACCCTGGTGGAGCAGTCAGACAGGATGGCCGCCCCACAGTTCATCAAGCGCGATATCGAGGAGGCGCTGAGGCGGGAGCAGGAGCTAAGCGAGCAGAGGGAGATTCGAGGCAAACAGGTTTACTCGCCGCAGACGCTGGTGCAGCAGGCAGACAAGATGGCCGCCACACAGTTCTACCCACAGATCAGGACAGGTGAGGCGGGCACTTTCAGTTTTTCATTGTTGAGTTGTGTTGAGCTCTGCATGTCGGCTAGGGTATGGAGCAAGCAACATAATCCCATTTTCCACATAAACCTGACAGCCAGGTGATTCAATAGAATCACCTTTCCCTGTGTGGGCTATTTACTATTATAATCTAGAATTTTCCCTTTTTTAAATGTTGTTAAACGTATCAATCTTTGTTCAGTTTGTTCCTTTAGGTGTTTTCTTTGAAAATGGTGCAATGGTATTTCAGACTGTGTCAGGTTTATGTAGAGTTTGTGGATGACTCTAGTCCCATGTTTGTGCAGCGTGTTTCAAGTGTTTGGTGGGGTTCGTTATGGTTGTTGAGTCCACAGGCTTCAGACGCTAGAGTTGACAAATCTGAACTTTTGGTGAAACTGACTATGTGTTTTTTGGGCTGCGCCCCCAAATGCAAAGGTGTCCAACTGGAAGTGTCCATAGCATTATTGATGCTGTGGTCAGAAAGTACAGTCTCAACTGCCACTGTTTAATGCCGCCGCAGAACCTTCTAGACAAAAGCAAAAACATCTCTATAAATACAAGCAGATGATGGATCCTCCATCCAAAAAGTTACGTAATGCACCTTTAAGTAAAAAAAAATAAAAAAAGAAATAGCAAAGGTGCCATAAATTTTCCTTAAAGATATGAACAAATGTGCTTAGAGATAAACACCCTGGTTTGGTAAGATATGCAGATAACTTATTTATAACTGCAAAAGAGAAACTGACCTACAGGCTGAATCAGAAATGGACTCTTAGACCGACCAATAATTTCAATAGCTGTTATAAATGATAATGATCTGCTAAATGGTTGAACCTTGAGATTAGAAAGTTGCCAAAACATCTCCTAACCCAGAACATAATCAGGACTCCATCTTTCACCTGCCATAAACAAGAGCAGTCACATTTGAGCTAGAGTCATACTGTGATACAAATACTTCCTTATGACATTCTTCCATTGTGTTATATTGGGACCTAAGTCCACAAATGACTTTATCATCATCAGCTCTAACCCATGCTCGTACAATCACCAGGGCCCAGAACCTTACAGTGTTATCAGTATAAAAAATGAGACTTGCATAATGATACATTTACCGTACCAAGGTAAAGCATATGAAATAAGAAAGACCTTGTATCTCAGTTTTACTTCTAGCTTAGAAACACATTTTGCAATTCTTTTTACAATTTTACAATTCTTTGCAATAAACAAAAATGGATCAACATCATCATCATCATCTCTTCATTTCAGAGTAATAAACACACAGACACATCAACAACACAGATGGCTAGAAAAAGGATCTACACCAGTGCTTCCATCGAGAGGACTGGTACTGCACAGTTATTTCACTTCTTTTCTTTGCTACATAATTCCAAATCTCATCATATATATGTTGTCTGTGTTTATCCAAAATGTAGAAAGTAATGAACTTAAAACAAGCAGCCTGCTTTACAGTGCAGCATTCCTCCACCCCACACTCTGTGGTGGTAACATACTGCTGTAGTCACAGCTGCCCTGGGGCAGACTGATGGTTAGACAGGCTGTCAATCTGCACTATCGACCACTCCCACCACCAGTACTCGCACACCACACAGGCAATGCGGGTGAACTGCCTTGCCTAAGGACACAGCAACAAAACATCAATATGGGCCCTTTAATGACTGAGCGTGGACAAAAGCATTTGTTTTATGCTCAGATGAGTCGAGTCAGCTGATGTCCCGGGCTCCTCATAAAGACCCACTGGAGAATGAATAACTGTGACCAAAGTCCGGCTGGATTCAGGAGAGAGCTTCTGTTATATTAATGTGTAACTATGGGCATCAAGGAGTCAGGGAGTCCTCACACTGTCCACACAGACTTATCCTGGTTTAGTCCTGGATTAGTCCTGGTTTAGTCCTGGTTCTGTGCTAGTTTAATCCTGATTCAGTCCTGGATTAGTCTTGGTTAATCTCTTTCTAGTCTCTTTGTGCATATAGCTGTTCAAATGAATGAATGAGGTGTATAGAATTGTTAGAATGAATGATATAGGTTGCACATAGACCAGCAGCAGACATTAATGGTGAAAAGGATAAGATGGATAGGCTCAGGAGGATGAAGGTTCTGCTGCTTTGATGAAGACTGGATGGGGAAGGGTTGTAGTTAAACCTTCAGGTAGAAGTAGAGGCCTGAATGGCGTGAGAGGTGATTAGTTGTGATCGGGGGAGGGACTAAGAGCCTGCCTTCTTGGTTGAATTGACTCTATGACGTAGTTTAATACTTTACTGATCCTGCGCTCTCCCCCTTGAACTGCCACCTTACCGTGGTGGGGAAGTTTGCGTACCCGAATGATCCTAGGAGCTATGTTGCCTGGGGCTTTATGCCCCTGGTAGGGTCTCCCATGGCAAACAGGTCCTAGGTGATGGGGCAGACTAAGAGCAGTTCATAGAACCCATATGAACAGTGTAATATCGAGGACCGTGACGTCGCCCGGTATGGCGCAGCCGGGGCCCCACCCTGGAGCCAGGCCTGGGGTTGGGGCTCGAATGCGAGCGCCTGGTGGCCTGGCCTTTGCCCACGGGGCCCGGCCGGGCTCAGCTCGAAAGGACGACGTGGGTCCACCCTTCTGTGGGCTCACCACCCGCAGAGGGGTTCATAGGGGTCGGGTGCATAGAGGACTGGGCGGCGGTCGGGTCCTGACGGCCTGGTCCGCATCTGGCTGTGGCGACGTGGAATGTCACCTCGCTGGGGGGGAAGGAGCCCGAGCTTGTGCGGGAGGTTGAGAGGTACTGGCTAGATATAGTCGGGCTCACTTCTATGCACAGCTTGGGCTGTGGTACCCAACTCCTTGAAGGGGGTTGGACCCTCCATTTCTCTGGCGTTGCCCACGGGGAGCGGCGGCGAGCTGGTGCGGGCTTGCTTATAGCCCCACAGCTCAGCCGCCACGTGTTGGAGTTCACCCCGGTGAAAGAGAGGGTCGTGTCCCTGCGCCTTCGGGTTGGGGACAGGTCTCTCACTGTGGTGTCGGCCTACGGACCGAACAGCAGTGTAGAGTACCCGGCCTTCTTGGAGTCCCTGGGAGGGGTACTGGACAGTGCACCAACTGGGGACTCCGTTGTTCTATTGGGGGACTTCAACGCCCACGTGGGCAATGCCAGTGACACCTGGAAAGGGGTGATCGGGAGGAACGGCCTCCCCGATCTGAACCCGAGTGTTTTGTTATTGGACTTCTGTGCTAGTCACAGTTTGTCCATAATGAACACCATGTTCGAGCACAAGGGTGTCCATAAGTGCACGTGGCACTAGGACACCCTAGGTCGGAGGTCGATGATCGACTTTGTCGTCGTGTCATCTGACCTCCGGCCGCGTGTCTTGGACACTCGGGTGAAGAGAGGGGCTGAGCTGTCAACTGATCACCACCTGGTTGTGAGTTGGATCCGCTGGCAGAGGAGGAAGCCGGAGGGACCTGGCAGGCCCAAGCGTATTGTGAGGGTCTGTTGGAAATGTCTGGCAGAGCCCTCTGTCAGAGGGACCTTCAACTCACACCTCCGGGAGGGCTTCTCACAGATTCCGGGGGAGGTGAGGGATATGCAGTCCGAGTGGGCTATGTTCTCAGCCTCCATTGTCAATGCGGCCGCTCGTAGCTGTGGGCGTAAGGTCTGTGGTGCCTGTCGCGGCGGCAATCCCCGAACCCGGTGGTGGACACCGGAAGTAAGGGATGCCGTCAGCCTGAAGAAGGAGTCCTATCGGGCCTTGCTGGCTCGGGGGACTCCTGAGGCAGCTGACGGGTACCGGCGGGCCAAGCGTGCTGCAGCCCGTGCGGTCGCAGAGGCAAAAACTCGGAGCTGGGAGGAGTTCGGGGAGGCCATGGAGGAGGACGGCCTCAAAGAAATTCTGGCAAACCATCCAGCGCCTCAGGAGGGGGAAGCAGTTCTTCACCAACACTGTTTACAGTGCGGGGGGAGAGCTGTTGACCTCAACTGGTGATGTTGTCGGGCGGTGGAAGGAATACTTTGAGGATCTCCTCAATCCCACCGTCACGTCTTCCGAGGAGGAAGCAGAGGCTGGAGACTCAGAGGTGGACTCATCCATCACCCTGGCTGAAGTCACTGAGGTGGTTGGCAAGCTCCTTAGTGGCAAGGCTCCGGGGGTGGATGAGATCCATCCTGAGTACCTTAAGTCTCTGGATGTTGTGGGGCTGTCTTGGTTGACACACCTCTGCAACATCGCGTGGCGGTTGGGGACAGTACCTCTGGACTGGCAAACCGGGGTGGTGGTCCCTCTGTATAAGAAGGGGGACCGGAGGGTGTGTTCCAATTACAGGGGAATCACATTCCTCAGCCTCCCCGGTAAGGTCTATGCCAGGGTACTGGAGAGGAGAATCCGGCCGATAGTCGAACCTCGGATTCAGGAGGAGCAGTGTGGTTTTCGTCCTGGCCGTGGAACACTGGACCAGCTCTACACTCTCCATCGGGTGCTCGAGGGTTCATGGGAGTTTGCCCAACCAGTCCACATGTGCTTTGTGGACTTGGAGAAGGCATTCGACCGTGTCCTTCGTGGTGTCCTGTGGGGGGTGCTCTGGGAGTATGGGGTCCGGGGCCCTTTGCTAAGGGCTGTCCGGTCCCTGTATGACCGGAGCAGGAGCTGTGTTCATCGCCGGCAGTAAGTCAGACCTGTTCCCAGTGCATGTTGGACTCCGCCAGGGCTGCCCTTTGTCACCGGTTCTGTTCATTGTATTTATGGACAGAATTTCTAGGCGCAGTCAGGGGTCAGAGGGGGTCCGGTTTGGGGACCACAGGATCTCATCTCTGCTGTTCGCAGATGATGTTGTGATGTTGATGGCTCCATCAAACCGGGACCTGCAGTGTGCACTGGGGCGGTTTGCAGCCGAGTGTGAAGTGGCTGGGATGAAGATCAGCTCCTCCAAATCCGAGGCCATGGTCCTCGACCGGAAAAAGGTGGCTTGCCCTCTCCGGGTGGGTGGAGAGTCCTTGCCTTAAGTGGAGGAGTTCAAGTATCTCGGGGTCTTGTTCACGAGTGAGGGGAGGATGGAGCGTGAGATTGACAGGCGGATCGGTGCAGTGTCTGCAGTGATGCGGTCGCTGTATCGGACCGTTGTGGTGAAGAGAGAGCTGAGTCGAAAGGCGAAGCTCTCGATTTACCGGTCAGTCTACGTTCCTACCCTCACCTATGGTCATGAGCTCTGGGTAATGACCGAAAGGACAAGATCGCGGATACAAGCGGTCAAAATGATTTTCCTCCGCAGGGTGGCTGGGTGCTCCCTTAGAGATAGGGTGAGGAGCTCAGTCACACGGGAGGAGCTTGGAGTAGAGCCGCTGCTCCTCCACGTTGAGAGGAGCCAGTTGAGGTGGCTCGGGCATCTGTCTCGGATGCCTCCTGGACGCCTCCCTCGGGAGGTGTTCTGGGCATGTCCCACTGGGAGGAGGCCACGAGGAAGACCCAGGACACGCTGGAGGGACTATGTCTCTCGGCTGGCCTGGGAACGTCTCAGGATCCCCCTGGAAGAGCTGGAGGAAGTGTGTGTGGAGAGGGAAGTCTGGGAGGCCCTGCTCAGACTATTGCCTCCGCGACCCGACCTTGGATAAGCGGAAGAAAATGGATGGATGGATGATCCTGCGCTGCCACTGACCCAGCCCTTTTGTCCAGCCTGTTCCAGTTTTTCACAGAGATGTGTGTAGAAACCCTCAGTCGTCCAGCTAGAATCCATGACAAAGAAGAAACTTAACTGTTTGTCAACTGGACAAACATTTATTTAGGTTGAAAACGTTTCACAGCTCATCCATGTTTTTGACCTAAGTAAATGTTTGTCCAGTTGACACACTGAATTTCTCCTTTGCAATAGTCACAGAGATGTTATTTAACCAACAAACAACACTTTAACAAAGAACAGCAGCAATGACAGACTGATAAAACACAGACAGCCTTTGTGAATTCAGCTTTGGCTCTTTTCAAAAAACCTCGGTGTTAATGTTCCAGTCCAAGTTGTTATCTAAGTGGACACTTGTATGTGTGAACTGATTCAGTGTCCTGGCCGTTTCGGTTGAATGGCTGGAAAGTTCTTATTCTTGTAACAGTTGATTGTCATTGTGTTGTGTTCAATATGAGATCATTTTTGGTGCTCCATCATGGATCATGTCCCTGTACTAGGCTTTCTGGTTGTTTTTAATACATGCCACTATGGCTGTGTCATCTGAATACTTCAGAATGTGACAAAAAGTTTTAAATTTGTACTTGAAATGAAATATGTACAGGAGTGTAAAGGAAAGGGGTGAGCACAGTTCCCTGTGGAGCTCCAACACAACTGTCATGTCTGAGATGGTGTTTGAGATGGAGTTAGTGACTTGGTTGTGTTCTGTATTGGCATGAAGGACAAGTCTTCAGGAAACATTGGTAGTCCTGGTTAAATCCTGGTTCAGCCCTGGTTGAACTCTGGTTTAGTCCATGAACTGAATATGTTACGAATCAGAAAGTCTACATCACCACCAACTTTCTCAGTAATAAAATGCTGTCTTTTCCTCCCAGGTAAAGAAGAGTCCAGAGTCCACACCTACTCTCGTCCCTCTCTCGGCGGCCCCCAGCCCTGGTCTCCTGCCCCCCAGACCTCCCAGACTCCCCTGACCCCATTCCGCAATGTGACCCAGACAACAGCCCCCCACACACCCCAGAACCCCTCCCCCCTTGTGGTCCGGGTCCCCCTTCCGGTCCGAGGACTCACCCAGACCCTGCTACAGGACTTTGAGGAGAGAAGGATCAAACTGAAGCTGGATGAAAGTGCAGTGAGTTCAGTCACAAGTGTTGTCACAATAGTAACACTTAAACTTGATTTCAATATAAAAGGAATAGACTCAGTACTCAATACACATACAGATACCACAATGATAATAATAATAATAAAAAAAATAAAAAGATGTAAATATAATTTTCAACATTAACTGGTAGAAGTTTCTTTTCTGTTCCCTCAGTGGTGCAGTAGGTTCATAGTGTCCGTGTGTATATTAGTCTATGTGCTCTGATACTTGTTCTGATACAGAGAAACATCATTCTAAAGACATTCAGGAAAGGCTTCTTCTCTGCTGTGAATTTTAGTATCAATACCTGCTCAAATGAGTATCTTGTTGCAACTGAGTGACAATATCTGCAAAGCGCATTGCAAAAATACATCTGGCCACTCATCCAAGAGGCTTCTTCAGTTTGACAGGGTTATCTAAGTCACTGTCTTATATCTGTCTGAAGCGGGAGCCACTACGCTGAAACTAACACACTACAGTTGTTTACAGTAACAAACATCTCTTATTAATGAAGTTCGTTAAACTGCCATAAGGTCAACAGAACTTTGTCAGAACAGAAGAAGCTGCTTGGATGAATGATGAAACTCCCTGGAACGAGTGAGGGAGAAAGACACAACACAAGTGTTCACAGTATAAACGTCATGTATGACCATTGTTTCATGTCACATGCTGCTTGGGTGAGACATTTGTGTTTGTGTGTTGCAGTACGCTGGAATCCAACCAGTCGATTCTGTCAATAACGAGGTACGACTTTTCCCTTTAAAACCTCAGAACACTCACAGGCAGTGTGCTCATGTGTGCTCATGTGTGCTTATGTGTGCTGTGTGTGTTGTGTGTGTTGATGTGTACTAATGTGTGTTGTTGTGTGCTGTGTGTTGTTGTGTGCTGTGTGTTGTTGTGTACTGTGTGTTGTTGTGTGCTGTTGTGTGCTGTGTGTTGTTGTGTACTGTGTGTTGTTGTGTGATATGTGTTGCTGTGTACTGTTGTGTGTTGTTGTGTGATGTTGTCTGTTGTTGTGTGTTGTTGTGTGTTTTTGTGTGTTGTTGTGTGCTGATGTGTGTTGTTGTGTGTGTTGTGTGTTGTTGTGTGATGTGTGTTGTTGTGTGTTGTTGTGTGCTGTGTGTTGTTGTGTGCTGTTGTGTGCTGTTGTGTGTTGTTGTGTTGTTGTTGTTGTGTGTGATGTGTGTTGTTGTGTTGTTGTGTGCTGATGTGTGTTGTTGTGTTGTTGCGTGTTGTTGTGTGTGATGTGTGTTGTTGTGTGTGATGTGTGTTGTTGTGTTGTTGCGTGTTGTTGTGTGTGATGTGTGTTGTTGTGTGTTGTTGTGTGTGATGTGTGTTGTGTGTGTGTTGTGTTGTTGCGTGTTGTTGTGTGTGATGTGTGTTGTTGTGTGTTGTTGTGTGTGATGTGTGTTGTTGTGTGTTGTGTTGTGTGTGATGTGTGTTGTTGTGTGCTGATGTGTGTTCTGTTGTTGTGTGTTGTGTTGCTGTGTTTTTGTGGCTGTGTTTTTGTGTGTTGTGTTGTTGTGTTTTGTGTTGTTGTGTTGATTTGTGTTGTTGTGTTGTTGTGTGTTGTTGTGTGTGATGTGTGTCGTTGCGTGCCGTGTGCAGGTGGTGGAGTCCACTCGGGTCGTGCGGCACAAGAACCAGAGGGCGCTGCAATGGGAGGCCGGGCTCTTCGCCAACCAACAGGACCAGTGACCATCCCAGTGTTCACCAGCAGGGGCAGTGTGGAGGCACTCAGCCGCTATGGAGAAATAATGTTGCTGCGGCGGGGGGGGCTGTTTCAGAAGAACTCTCCACTCACAGTAACGAGGTCTGGAGTTCAACCTGAGAGATGCTCAGTCCACACGTTCTCCAGGTAGAACTGCGGGCTGCACTGCCGTCGTCCACTGCTCCTGCCGTTGGAGGATGGGTTAGGGTCAAACACAGAGTGCAAATTTCCCCACAAGTACAACACATGCACCTTAACCTCTTGGGCCTCCTTGACCTCCAGCCCAGCAGACTTCTGACTCTGGGTTCCACTTGAGCAGCACACATGGAACAGATCAGAAATGTATGGTGTATTTGATTTTTTGTTCATTCATTTGGCATTTTGTATTTGTGATTGATCAAATGTGATTGATCAGCTTTGTCTCAAATTTAAACCAGTTTTGAAATTCATTAGCCTCTTTGAGTGACAGCGCTCCTCCTGTCAGACCACAGCACTGACACAGTCCAGGGGGCGCTGATGAGCAGGAAACACACATCACTCTTCTTCTGTAGATTTTACCTTTGGACTTTGACCTGAACTCATAAGACTGCTTCTGATTGGTCCGATCAGAATAAACATGATCCAGTGTGATAGCAGCCAGCCAATGAACTGTGATCTTCAGACTGCTACAGTCAAATAAATGATGCAGCTCCGAGCTACTTGAATGAAGTCAAAATAAAACTTTATATTTTAAAAAAGCGTTTTTTGTGGAAGATGAATTAGCAATGCTGACAGAAATCTGCCTTTACTCATAAAAAAACAACAGAACAATCATGTAGCACCATGACCACATATCCACCTGCAGTAGTGAAAGCTGTTTGAGAGCGGCTTAAAGTGAGTCTGACAAAGTTTTATTGAGATAAAATGTGCACAGGAGACTTGAATTAAAATGCAGTGATTTGTGGGGCTCAAAGGGAGAAGAGCACAGGAGCACAGGGTTACTGCAAATACAGTCAAATACAACATGGACTTTAAAGAGTCACTTTAAAGTTGGGATGGGCATTCGATAAAATTTCCTTAATCGATCGCTGGGACAATTACTGATCGATTTTCAATTAATCTTTAACATTTTATATTAAAATGAGATTACTAATCTGCATAAATGAACTCAACTTTACAACATATAAACCATCACCACTATAGAGCCACATCAGCCCATTTGACATTATCATGTGTTTAACACAGCTTTGACACATTTGTTTACATTTTACAGAAACTAAACTTAAAACCACATGACTCATTTACATAAACTCTAATTACTGAAAAAAACAAAACAAAAAACAGCTCTTTCCTTGTGCGCTGATGCTGTCAGACTAAAGGACACGACTCAGTGGAATATGAGTGTTCTCTCTGTGACAGAGGGATGATGATGATGATGATGATGACGGTGAGTGTGTTCTGTGTGTGTCGCGTTGGAGATGGTTCATGTTTTCAGAGATCAGATGTGTGCAGGTTTAGTGCAGCTCTTTATTTAACATCATTTCACTCACTTTATTTATGTTGGTCACTTTATTTATTTTAGCTTCTGTTGTGCTGAAAAGAAAAGTGTTTGTCTTTTGGACACATGTGACTCAACTTTATGTTGCAGTAACCAGGCTACTGCGTTTACACGCACCATGACAAAACAGAGATACTCAAAAACCCGATCATACCCGGGACACTGATGTGCTGTAAACACACTCACTGATGGAACTGTGATCTCCAAGGTGCCAGAGCCCAAACGTGGGACTATGAGGCACAACACCTGTGTTTGTGTCAGACACAGCCCCGTCTTCTTACACTGCACACAGTAACCTCCATTCAGTGAACGTGACTGACGAAATTCTTAATGATCAATTATGAATTAGTCGACTAATCATGTCCATCCCTCTTTAAAACATATTTTATAACATGGTTTAAAGTCAGTCTGGCATATCTGTGTCCTTCAAAACCATACCAAGAACCACATGTCAAATTTTGATTCATAAACATGACCTGCCCCCAGATATGAGCTAATCATGTTCAAATCAAATCTAGTTTTACTGATAACAATAGTTGTGTGTTTAAATGTAAAATGTTGCTCTCTGATGTTTGGTCCTTGAATCCCAGCACCTGCAGCTCAGGGAGGGAATTCCAGGGGAGGTGAAGGGGATAAAACAAAGGAATTGCTGGAATAAAAAGAAAGCACAAATGTAAGTATGGACCACTTGAACTCTAAATGGGATGAGGGGGAGAACACTCTGGGGAGGACTGAATCTCACACCTAAATGCTGAAAACAACTGCTGTCACATTTGGAATACAAGAAATGAGAGTAGTTTCTGAACAGTGAGCACATGAGTATGTTTGGATTAAAGGCAGAGTGCTGCAGAGTGCTTAGCTCTGTGTGTGAATGTGTGTGCTTAGCTCCTTCTGTGTGAGTGCTTAGCTCTGTGTGTGAGTGTGGTGTTTCCTGTAGAGACTCGGTGGTTGTGCTCATTAAAAGTCGCTTATCTGGGCCTAACAAGCTCTTCTAATCAACCACACTTGTGTAGCTCACATTTACACATGTACAAGCTGGAGTTAGAGCACACCATGTAAAAGAGCATTCTCAGCAGCTGTACGTCTGACTGGACTGTGTGTGTACTGAGAGAGCAAACTGACCAAGACTAAAAAAAAAAGAAAAGGAAAAAAAAAAAGACCTGCATGTCTCAGAGGGGTTTTTATTGTAAAGCTGAGTGTAAAAGGTGCAGGATCTTGTCTGAAAGGTCCTCCTCCAAACGCCTTCATCATCATCATCATCATCAGTGGCCTCACTAACCCACTGAGCACACAGCAGTTATTAAAATGAGAAATGGTGTGTTGCGACTACTGTCGTCATGGAAACAGGCGGGTTTGGAAAGGGGCCCGCACAAATGAAAAGATGAGAGCTGGCCGAGGTAAATAAAGAGCAGAAGAGAGGGAGCAGGAGGAGAGTTTACTGTCAGGGTGAGTACAGGCTGTGACCACCAGGGGGCCTCAGCGCAGCGTGGGCTTTCACTGTGGGTGCTGTCTGGAACTGGCTAGAAGACAGGAATGTTGTTTTGCTGTTATTCCTTAAAGAGGGACTATTACACTTCTGTGGAGTACGAAGTGCTAACACGTCTTTACATCACCATGTTAACTTTTATTGTTTTGGAAATGCTCCCCCTTCAGAGCACTCTCACATTACAACTGGTCTGTCTTCCACTGATGACACTGCACATCACATCAGGCTTGTGAAGTTGTAGTGGATAATTCTGTATCCGGTGTTTGTATATTTATGAAGAAATGGCAAGTGGAAGCATGGATGATGTAACTTTGTAAAGCCAGATGGATTCTCGTGATATTTCTGAGTTCACAGACTCACGAGAATCCATGTTGGCATTCCCCCTCTGTACAGGCGGACCAATCACATCGCAATATTGAGGTTTGCACAGAAGTCAGAGGCATCCAAAGGAACCAAAACAAACATGGCAACGCCAACAGACGGACTTCACTCTATGTTATCGTCACTGCTAAAAGACTATTTGGTTTGTGAAATACATACAGAAGGTAAGAGCTCAGTGCATTTGTGGACAAGGAAAATGTCTGTGCTTTTCTCTCAACTGGATTTAACTAAAGTTTGATTTCTTGTCTTGTTCCACTATTGTGACATGACCAATCAGATTCAAATACTCGTCATGATGCTCCATATTTGCCAATCACTTTCAGTGAGAGCCGCTTAGATTGATCATGTGTAATTTTAATGACATTTTTGTTGTTTTATATAGCTCCATCTTTTCATGAATATACTTTTAAAGGAGCTATGTATGTATTTTGTGCTCTTTTAACAGATGAACCTGTGTCTCCAGAGGAGACAGTTTCACAGACAGAGACACATCCAAGTGTGACTCATTTTCAGTTTATGGACAGACCAGGCCTCATGTGAAGCTCAGAACCTCCAGAATTCCCACCCTGAGCGGCAGAGGCTGCACTAGCACTGACTCATGACAGGTGCAGGTGCTGGGGTTTAGGGAGAGACTGTTCAGATCAGAGAGAAACATTTTAGGTTTAAACCAAGTGGAATAACTCTCTGAGGCTCTGCTTTCTGTTTGGTCTGCAAACATTCTGGTAAAGAGTTTACCTTCTTGTCTCCATGGAGATGTGATTTCTTTGCCTCGAATGTTTCACAGTATGTATCTATTACATTGTTCAACTGTTTTTATTGCTCAGAAAAACATGCATCTCAAGCTGTGTTGCCTTTCCACAGATCTGACATTGGAGAAAGATGCGTTTAATGCCATGGTGTGGAACATGTCATGCAAGGAAGGATGGGGCTGAAGCCATATTGTAAACTACTGTGTGGAACTGTGCTGGATTATTCATTCTTTCTTTACACAACTCGTCCTTTTGAGACAAATGTGTAATTCTCTGGATGAATTAGAAGATGGTAGTGCTGACAAGAGTGGAACATTTCAGACTTGAATCTGAATAGAATCCATATTGAACATCAAACATTGCAGAGATGATAATAAAAAACACTTTCTTAAACATGAAAAAATGTGATTATCAGGATTAGATGGTAGAACTTTCTTTTCTATTCCACATGTCTTATATGTGTGTGATCCTCAGCAGGTTCATGTTGGTCCATGTGCGTACACTGGTCTATGTGCTCTGATACTTGCTCTGATACAGCTCCAGATTATTCTGAAACATTCAGGAAAGGTTCTGTCCGACCAATGGGACTCTCACATTCTCTTTATAAACCCAATAAACTGCAGTCACCACTGGTCCTGTCCTGTTCTAACAGTTTTCATGTTGGAGCAGAGATTGTTGAACTGCGCGTTACTGTGGTATAGTGATTAGTGACATAACATAGCTCTATAGAATCCTGCTGGCTCTGATCCTGCTCCATAGAGTGGGCAGGCGCTTGGCGTATGGACACCGTCGCCATGGAAACTGCATAATGATCCTGGAGGCGTGAGATGGTTCAGGTTGAAGCAGATGTAATGTGAGATGTTCCACAGAGAGGCTTTTCTGTGGAGTTTTTATCTCCTACATCCTTTTGCCTGTCGGCTATTCTCAAATAACAAAATAGGCTAATCAGGATAGAGACAATGTTATAAATCCCTCAGGGCTTACAGATGATGGTGAAGAGGAGGAGGTGGAGAGGCTGAGGGGTTGTTAGTTCTGCTGCTGCAAGGTGGTAGCTCAAATGAGAAAAAGAATACAGAAAACATTAACAGTTGTTCAGTTGCATTTATAGCTGGGAGTCCACTGCACGACACCGTCATTTGAAATGAAAGAAAAAGTCTTGAGTCAGGGCTCAGTAAAGATCAAACTCAGAACCATCGTACCACCTCATTTAGATTTTGAGTCTTGTCTCAGAGTGAGTCCTGCTCAGAGTAAACATAAAGCAGAACTACTTTTCTCATCATTTACTAACTTTGACAAAGCTTTACAAACCAGTGCTGACTTCAGTGACCACACAGAACCTGGGGCCTGATATTGGCTCAGACAAACTTTGGTCATAGCCATGAGTGCTCCACATGTGCCGGTGATGTGTCTTACCTTTTCAAATCCTCACACTGTGCAGTCTGACATCCAAAAAGCTTCTGCTCTGAAAAATACGAAGCAGTGAACACCTGGAGGTAGGTCGTCCTGGTTGACTTCCTGTTCATCTTCTTCAGTCCTGTGGAGTAAACCTGGTTGGATCAGATGTAAAAGCAGAGAGACTACCACTGTTAAATGTTAACAATGTCCAGGGTTTAGCCAACAAGAGATAGCACATTTGAATGTGTCTCTAATTGGGCAGTTTGGCTGTACGTCCCTGGAGTCTGAATGCTTCATAAAAGGTCCAATGATCTGAATCATCAAAGAGCCGCGCAGACCAGCGCTCTGGATCGGTCTGTGTTAAATATGAACAAAGTCAGAGAATTAAAGAAGACATATTAGGATTAAAGATGCTTTAAAGGTCACATCTGGAGACCTCTCCAATGGTATTTTATGTTATTTCATGGAAAACACAATCTGTTTGTATTGCTGCCCTCTGCTGGGAACAGTGGGAAGTGAAGCAGGTTTAAAATATAAATTAGCAGCAACTGTTAACATAACAACTAACAAGCACAGCCTGCTTTACCAGAACAAGTCCTGATTCCTCAAGATATGTCCAAAAATATGTTTAAAGGTCACAGTAATGTATATGTCCACTTTAAACATGTGCAAATATTACTTTTCTTGCTTTATGTTAAAAAGTTGAAAATCAGATACTGATCTAAAACTTGTATCGAACAAGTATCAAAGACTCATTCACAGGACAGAAATAAACCTTTCCTGAATGTCTTTAGAATAATCTGGAGCTGTATCAGAACAAGTGTCAGAGCACATAGACCAGTACACACACAAGGACCAACATGAACCTACTGCCCCACTGACCATTACACACATATAAGACACATGGAAAAAAAGAGAAAAGAAAGTACTGCTATTTAATGTTGAAAAGACACAGTACAGGACTATACATGTAACAGATAATACTCCCTACAACTGTACAACTTACCCTTTTGTAACAGATAATACTCCCTACAACTGTACAACTTACCCTTTTGTAACAGATAATACTCCCTACAACTGTACAACACACCCTTATGTAACAGATAATACTCCCTACAACTGTACAACTCACCCTTATGTAACAGATAATACTCCCTACAACTGTACAACTCACCCTTATGTAACAGATAATACTCCCTACAACTGTACAACTCACCCTTATGTAACAGATAATACTCCCTACAACTGTACAACTCACCCTTATGTAACAGATAATACTCCCTACAACTGTACAACTCACCCTTATGTAACAGATAATACTCCCTACAACTGTACAACTCACCCTTATGTAACAGATAATACTCCCTACAACTGTACAACTCACCCTTATGTAACAGATAATACTCCCTACAACTGTACAACAATCGTATCATTGTTGCACTGTCTTCCCATGACTTCTTGTTTAAAGCTGTTTTTATATTTTATTACTTCTCTTTCTATTTTAGTTTTGATTTTATATAATTTACATAATTATGTCTTATTTGACACCTGTCTCTTGCTATCTGTTTTTGCTACTTATTTAAAATTTATTTTATCATTTATATTTGTTTCTCTTTGTTATTATATTATATTGTGATGTGTGAGTTACTGTGTCAAATCATTTCCCCTGTGGATCAATAAAAACACATACTGTCTTTTTGTGTTTGTGTTTTTATTATCATTGTGGTATCGAAATTGGTATTGAGTATCGGGTCTGTTCCTTAGTATCAAAACAGAGTTTGAACTGTTAGTAGTGTGACTCTGCTGGTTTCCATAGACACACAGTGAAACACTCCCCTCCCCTCTCAATATTCCACCACCTTTTAGAAAAGACAGAAGAGAAACATATGAGATCAGAACAGTTTAATGTTTGGTTTGTCCTGAAGCATGCAGGTCTGTAGCTCACAGACTGTTTAAGAGCAGCATTAGTCTTTTTCACACTATATTCACATGAGGAGGATGTGCCGTGGGAGGACAGTCAGATTGACATGGGCTCATGGTCACAGACTGTGGACTCATGCAACATCACAGCAATAACAGCAGCCACGGACACTCAGAACGGACAGAGGTCATCCCCAGAGCTGCAGAAACACACCACAGTGGGTCACAACATGAGGTTAACAACACACCACTTTGCACGGGACAGGTCAGAAGAGCCATGTGAGCCATGCTACGAGTGTGTGTTTTGAGCTATCGGCCACTTACAGATATGGGGAAATATTCAAGTCTATTTGAATATTTCATCACTTGATAGCTTTGTCATTTCAGGCATATTTTAGAATAGTCATGGCCAATGGTACAGAACATTCAAGTCAGTAAATATAAAAGTCTAGGTTGTTTTTTGCAAAGCATCATTTAAGTCAGTAATCATTTAGTTTATTGTTTCTCAGTCAGCTTTGATGGTTCTTTGTGTAACGAAGTGGAGGTGGGAGAGGTCTGCAGGCAGTATGCGCAGACGCAGACGCTCTAGGCACATTTTGCTGCTGCTAAAGTGGATCAATCTGATTGGACGCTTAAAGTCAACACCTTGGAAATGCCTCAGTGCCTCAGTGCTCAGTCACTTTTGTAAGTTTACAGCAAACTTTACATTTGCAACAAGTTTTCCAACAAGAGCTTCATAATGTGGGTGTGTTTGCAAAAGTGTGTGACCAAAGGCTGTGGGTGTGACTCTGCAGCTGCATTATGAACACTTCAAATATGTTTGGCCACATGAGTCCATTCTGAATAAATACACAAATATATCCATACACTCAACACACACAATCAGAGAGCAGCACTCATGTTGGAGCAATCAGAACACAGCACATCATCTCACCCAGTCACAACAAAACACACCTTATCATCCAATCAGAACACAGCATACATGATGAACCAATCAGAGCGCACAAACAGACAAAGCGAACCTCCACAACAAAAGGCAACAACATACAGTATTATACAGTCAGAACTCACTTTCCCACAATGCACTGGGTCAGAGGTGCGCTCAGGGGTCACTAAACCTTTTCAATCATAAAACTGTAATCATCTAAACTAGTCATAGACCGAGCCTCGCCTGTGGAGTAACTCTTCTATGGTATTGTAGCAGAAAACTTGTACGGTGAATGTATTTGAGCAAAGTTTGTTTTGCCCCACTACAGATATATTATATAAGCGGCTTTTGAGGTTAAAATAAATACTGTTATTAACCGAGCCAGGGACCAAAGAGCCAGGTGAGCATTTACTGGAGCCTCTGAGCGTGCCCTGACCCAGCGACTGTGCAGTGGGAGCAGTTTCCAGTTTGTTGCATGTTTGTGCTTTCTCAAAATCTCTTTAAAATCTCTCAGAAAATCTCTACATGTCCTGTGCTTCCTCCTTCTCCACCATGACCAGTTGCCATGGAAACTCTGCTTCCTGCTCGAAGACAGCGCTCTGGTCCAGTGAAGATCACAAAAGTCCAGATTAGATCTTTAGTTAGCCTCCTTTGGGAAAATAAATTAGCCCACTTCACAATCCGTGCTATCTGTGGCAGAAGTGCTGAGTCATGCTCCAGTTTCACACAGCACACAGTGAAGGCCTTGAGAGAGCACCACAACATGAGGAGCAGAGGGCTGAGCCTGGAGGACACTGCTCGGTGTAAAAGTGGGACTTAACACTAAAACAACAGATTGTTTTTGTTAGTAATTTGTACATGGTTTTTTTTGAAAGCGTTTTCTACTGTTCCTAATCATTTTGGGGTGATTTTAGTGCAAGTGAGGTTCATTTGATTCCTGGTCCAAACCTAAGTGTGTGTGGTCAAGTACTACATAACATCTCACTATACTGGCCTAATAAAAGCCAGTGTTTCTGATTACAAACAGCAAGCGGCAGGGGCAGAGTTTGAAGTGTGGATCTGTGGACTGTAACATTTGAAGATTTGTGTTGAGCACCTGATGTTTCTGTGTAATTTCTCCTTAAATTTACTGAGCTGCTGTCATGGCTTCTGCAAACAAATTTACCCTCAGGTACTAATAAAGAAATCTTGAAACTTGTTAGAACAATCAGTTCCTTAAATGTTCAGACCTCCTCTCCCTCACTCTCGCCTTTAGCCCACCAGGCTCTCTCCAGTTTAGAGCTCTGTTTGCTTGTGAACGTTTAGGTATATAATCCCACAAAAAAGCAATACACAAACTAAACAAACAGTACAACTTGTCCTTGAACAATATGTCATGTGTTTTGATGTTTTTTATTGGATTGGAATATGTTGCTATCCATCACTCCTCCTCTCTCTGTAAAGACAAGAAGGCTCTTATGTTTTAATCTTTGGAAAAGGACATACTGAATGAATGAAACATAACTCAGGTACAGTATGTTTTGATGATGAAATTAGACAAACACTTTCTATCTGCTGCGACTAAGAGTGTCACGTTGTTGGTAGGCATGTCTGTGTTTGAGCATAAAGCTGCATGTTAAAAAATCTTTGCCAAATGACTCACAAGATGAAAATAAGATGATCTGTCCCTAAATGAAATCCTTAAAAGCATCTTTAAATACCACTCCCTTCACAGTGCAAGTGCCTCCAAACACAGCCCTCAGCATCTCACAGTCCGTGCTATTTCTGCATCTTCTTCAAGCTCTTCTCTCACCTCTCGGCTGTGAAATGGCTCTGAACACTACAACTCCCGTGAGGCTTAGCGGTGGAGCTGAGGAGATGGCTTTTGCGAAGTGTCAGATTGAGAGGCTAATTTCCCGCTTGATTCTGCATAGCGTCGTGTTCGTCCTGCTGCTTCGGAGAATGTCACAAAAATAAGGCTTTTTTACTTCTAAAAGGAGAAAAGCTCCACTACTCTCTGTAGCGGCGCCCCTGGAGGCTCTTGTAGTAGTGTTCGGCATCAGCCTGATTACGCACATCCCGATCCAACAGCACCAGCGCTGTTTTGCGGCGCATGGCCATTTCCCGCCGTTGCCCCTCCATGTCGGCGTGTGCGTCGGACAGGACTGGAGACAGGGGCGATCCCGACCTCTGCTGCGGCCGGAAGCTGCTGCCCTGCGCCGCCAAATCCCTCCGCTTCATGTTGTTCAGATCGTACGTGTCCCGATTGTCCGCACCGTTCGCCGCCCACTCCCATGGGTTCCCAGAAAGGGGCGGGGCCTGGGGGATCTGTGCCGCCTGTACGATGGGGTGGTGAGGGGCGTGGGCGTCTACCGTCACGATCCCTGGACCGTCGCAATGCTTTTCTGAGTTGGATTTGTAATGCGGAGATTCGTTGGAAGAGGAGCCGCCGGAGCAAGTGGAGGTGGTCTCTGAGGATTTGGGGGTGTCCGAGGAGGACATGGGTAACAGGCCTTGCTGCTTGGACATGGCGATCACCTGCATTAAACGCGGTTGGTTGGCGGCTGCTCTGGATGACGACTCTCCCGTGGTCTTCTCTCGTATGGCCATCCATTTAGCTCGAGTTAGTGCGCTCTTTGGGGACACAGGCGGCGGACCTGCTTCTGGGATTTGAGGGGGTCTAGGTGTGGGCACAGCTTTGGCGCCGCCTGGTGGAGGGGTGGAGGTGCGGCTGGACGAGGCAGACCGGGACTGGTATATGGGCACTTGGGAGCCTCCGTCGTCTGTCTCTACAGATCCCACTTCGGAGCCGTCCTCGCTGGCGTCTCTTTCCCCGTCATCCTTGAAGCCGCGCATCTCCATGGACTTCTGCTTCCACTCTGACACCAGCTGCTGCGAGCGCATGGGGTCCAGGGGGACTTGCACGGCTTTTAACCTGCGCTGCACGGGCTGGACCGGCTGAACGACGGACTCCTCTGCTGCCTCACTAGCTAGAACACCGTTAGCATTGATACTAGCGCGCGGGAGAGTGTTGCTGAAGGTTAGCATGGTCTCCTTGCCCATGGGACTGCGCGGGGCCAGTAGTTCCACGTCCACGCTGGCTCTCTTCAGGTTCTCCACAGAGCTCTTCTCGCGCTGCAGCTGGCTCAGGCCCTCCAGGCGGTTGAGGGGGGCGGGGTTAGTGGCGATCTCGTCGTTGCTCTCTGAGGCTGAGGCAGGGCCCTTGTTGTAGACGGACTCGTGGCCCCGCTCGGTTAAAGCGCGCAGAGGGTCCTCTTTAGGGGGAGGAGGAGGGGGAGGGGGGGCCACATCCTCTGAAGACTTGAAGTTGGCCACAGCATGGAGAGCCTGGGGAGGACGGACAGAGTCAGGTCACACAGTCTGGATTAAAGAGGGCCTATTACACTTCTGTGGGCTCCAAACTGCTGACACATCACATACGTAGGTCACCATGTTACATTTGAATGTTCTGACAGTGCTATTCGACAGAAACTATGTATTAAGATGTTGAATACGTTTAATAGAGTACCCCCTCCCTTTGCTCTGTCACTGTGTGTGTTCTTGTCACTCCCCCTTCAGAGCACAGTCGTTCGTATAGGAGCATGGGTGACTTATCCTTGTGGGTGGAGCCTTGTACAGAATCTTACAGCTAATTGCAAGAAGGGTTCGAGCAGTGTGGAAGAGAATGCTAAAATACTCAAATGTACATGGATGACATCTAAAACCAAAGAGCATGTTTCTGATGAGGGAACAACATTATAACACCAAAAAGTTGATTTTGCATAATCTCTGCTTCAGGAAGGTTTAGTGTTTAGTCCACAGTAGAATGTGACAGTTGTTATGAAAAGAAACACTGTGATTTTACTATTGTCACATTTACACCATGAATGAAACAAACTGAGAAATCTGTTATTTATTGTCATTCACACTGACAGGTTACCATAGCAATGTGTGTGGCCAGTTTTATAACTCAGCCACGTTATTCTCCTTTTGACTGCATTACATAATATAAAGGATTTTTTTTTTGGAGAGTAGATTATGCTTCTGTAGCCTGGGTATTAAAGGTTGTATAGAGGATTTTATAAGGGAAGTGAAATACAGCGACAGTCCATTTTCAAATGTTGTGCATGTGTGACACCACCTTCCTCCTCCACAGCTCCATCAGTAGAAACACCTCCTACCGCCTCCTTACTCTAGAAGTCACGCTTGTTTACAGCCAGTGTTCAGAATTACCGTTGAAGTGACCTGTCTAGAAATATTTTTGTGAGCGATGCGTCAGTTTTTAGACCCTTCGTCTACTTCAGTCGCGCCATCGCTGGAAGGAATCTCCAAGAATCACCTCAGTTTGTCTTCCCTCCTTTTCCCCTTCTCTTCTTCTTTCAGCGACCTTGAAAATGGACTTTCTTTTGCGGCAAACTGGTCGTGGATTCTCGTCCACCATCGCAACACACTTTGTGCGAATTGCAAGGAAGAGACAGTTTGAAAAAGCCTCTAAGAACCGCTGCATAAACCACGTAATCCCTGCGCGCCGGCAAGTCAGTTACACTAGAAATGTAGGTAGTTTGTCTGACAACCTAACAGCCAATAGATAAAGAGGGAGCCTCATTTTCTATTGGCTGATGTTTAGCTGGCCTCACTACATCCACAGTTGATAGATTTTCATTCTTTTTTTTGTTTTGTTATCATAATTGCAAGGCTGCTGTGTCTCTGTAATGGTATTTTAAACTTTCAATGACAATATGAAACAAACAAACAAACAAACAAAAAAAGCCAGACAACCTTTAAATAATTCATAGACTGTAAAAAGTGTATCATTGCTTTTCTATGCTTTTTAAATACAGTATCCTTTTCCTCCCCACTTTCACCTATGGCCCTTCTCCACCATCTCATTAGTTGAGGAAATAAGATGGCTCCCCTCATGTCTGTTAGAGCACGATGAACAACAACAGTGCACCTTTAAACCCAACACAGTATTTGACCGTTTTAGTGACTCAAGAAATGAATCATACATGACCAATATGGCTTCTGTGTGTTCACACCAGTGGTGTCCAAGCTTTTTCTGGGTCCTTCTGCTTCCCGGTGACTTGGCCCCATAGACTGTATATATAAACGGGCATAGCTAACATGCTAGCCAGCATGTTCCAGCTCTTCCAGCTCCATTGGAATATTGTCGTCCCTCTCTCTGAAACTGCTGTGGTGAGCCTCGTTATAGTCTTATTCTTCATCTGATTTTACCTCTCCATTTTTATTTTTACTATAACCTTTAGGAGCTTTATGTTTTATGTTTTAGTTTAAATTGTTGTAAAATTTGGATGAAACAATGGGGTGGAGTTTGTCATTTTTCTGTTGGACGTGAAGCACTTTGTGCTACATTTCAGATGTATGAAAAGTGCTATACAAATAAAGTCCGATTGACTGATTGATATTCCGAATATGGAGCCTGGCTTCAAATTTGTTCCTAGAGCTGCTAGCAACATGAGCTTCATTTGAAACTTTTTGAAATGATTCATGGTATGAACCAACTGTCTGGGTCTGGAAAACATTTGGTCTCCTGTGCTGGACCAACTAATTGACTCTAGATGAAAAGGAATCTTGTGAGCTTTGAGCCATGTTAGAATGTTGATTCCTCATCACAAACAAACCTGGAATTGTGTTTTGTTTCATTCACATGTTGGAGTAATACTCTGTTACACCTTGTGATGTCACAAAGAGGTAGTTTTCAAGTTAATAGCTCTTTTTACATCAATCCAAATGGTTCTAGTGAAGGTGTATGGAGTTTTGAGTTTGAGACAAGAACTCGCGCTAAATCTGCAGGTTTGTGTGTTAAACATGTGAATGAAACAATGAGGACATGAGGAAACTCCATTATAAAGTAGATATAGAAAATAGAGGAGTTTGGGCCATTTTCAATCACATCTAGACTACATATGAGCTTTGTACATTTGTGTTACTCAAGAAGGAAACTTGTAACTATCCCATACATTTTATTTAATATACACTGTTAGTGCTGCACATACCAGGTAAGCAGCGATGAAGGCTCCGATGAGGAAGCCCACGTAGACGTCGATGGGGTGTGAGCGGTGCTGTGTGATCTGGGTCAAACCGGTCAGAGCCGCCGCAATGGCAAAAGCAAACACCAGCACCGGCTTCAGCAGCTTCGTACTGTCCGAGATGGTGGAGTTAAAGTACATCTGCACAACACAACGTCAACACATGAGATGGGTCAAAAGAGATATACTGTACTATGCCTGGGGGCCAAATGGGAGGTGGTGAGGAAGAGGGGGTAGAGAGGCTGAGTAGGCTGGTGCTTCTGCTGCTGCGGTGAAGATGGTTTGTTGTATCTCAAATTCAACCCAGATGTGATTTTTACTTTCAATTGTGAGATTAATTTTGCAGGTTTGTGGAGCCAATCCTAAACAAATACTGAGAAGGTTCAGCATTTGTGGATCATAAGTTTGGAGATTTCTTTCAAAAATATCAAGTTATTGGCCTTTGGCCAACACCTGAGATTATGACATCATCAAAATCTAGAACGTGAACACAAACTATGGCACTACACCTCCACTCGTACAGCGGCTGCAGAGAGACTGTTGGCTCAAATGACAACAACATGGAAGTGAGAGCATGAGGAGACTGAGGCTGTGAGGTGAAATTAGCAGGCTGTGATTGGCTGACAGTGACAGGTGACATGACCTAGGAACCAGAGAGAACTACAGTTATTCTGTCAACGGAATAACTGTTTTATTTTTTTTTTACAATAGTGTTGGCCCTATAATCTAAAGGTTGTTGATAAGAAGCCTGAGTCCCAAAACTACACACAGTCCTCGTACAAGGCTCCTTGCCTGGGATCCAGAACACACACTTCTTCAATACTTAGATGTGAGTACTATACAAAGATGTGAGTCTGCTCACCTGTGAATTTCCAGAACTTTAGCTGGGCGTGACTGACAGGTGGATTAGCCAATCAAGGACATTCACAGTCCCTCTGTATCAAAACAAATATGGCTGCTTAGGAGGAAAAAACAAGAGAATAAATATATCACAGGGGCTGAAAAAAATGTCTGATTTCTGCAGAATCTAAGAGCAAAGCCCTAAACTCTGCTCATCTGTCATTGTATTCATAATGATGAATGATCAGTGAGCTCCTTCATTTAACATGCGTCACTGGGGAAAAAGCCGTGACAGAGGGTGTGGGGACCAGACTGATCCTGTTTAAAAACACACAGATATCAGCCTGGATTTGCCAGGTAACAAGGCACTATTTTACCATTTAAATAAACATCCAATTAAAACCTAACAAAACTGGGACAGTCATTCCAACTCTGTGTCTGCAATGCAAATCCTTTATCTAAAATGGAACAAGTTTTGTGCCATCAGAATCTCTGCTCTAATCTATTCACGCCAGTGTGGTGCCAGATTCTCTCTGAAGACACAAGATTTTAGCTGCTGCTTTGAGCATGAACAACCAGTGAACATACAAACACATACAAATGAGTTATGTGTAATGAATCATTTACAGAAGGAGTAGACTTTGGTGCTAAGTATTTTTGGTCTGTTTTTATAAAAAAATAAAGTTTGTCTAAGTCTAAGATCCTGGCAGGGGGAGAGATGTCACACTGTGGTGCAGGGAGGACATGGTTGAGTAGTCAGGATAGAGGCTGAGGAGGGTGACACTGCAGATTAATGGAGGAGAGAGATGCAGAGAATGCATTTATATGATTATCTTAAAGCAACACCGTGTAACTTTCAGGAGGTGGTTCGTCAACGACATGATTCCATGGAAAGAGAAAAGTAAAACCATACAGTACTTCTCCATGGAGATAGATTCATTTATGCCATACTGTGGAAGATTGTAGTCAACAACAGGGGCAACATTTCCATGGAAACAAGCAAGAGAAGTAGGAGATACACGCCTGATGCAAGCTGCAGTAAGGACACCTGTTTTTCTCTGTTTTTAAATGTAATAAAAAATAATGAAAAAAGTTACACAGTGGCGCTTTAAGAGTTCATTATTTGAAGTAGCAGGCTGTGATTGGCTGACAGTAACAGACAGTTACTTGGGGAACCATCACAAGGAAAGTTTTCAGTTTGGATTTACCCACAGAGTTCTTAATGATTCCCACATATGATTTACGCCTTGTGTTTTCTTTGTGGGGAGCTGCAGAAGAACTGCAGAAGTTGTGAACACGACTTTGCACCTGTTGTTGACAGCAGCTAAAACAGCCCCTGCTTTTTATAGAAGTCTGTGTTGAACTGTGACTGTGCTGCACAGAGCTTCTGAGGTGAAGAAGTCTGTGTTGAACTGGGACTGTGCTTAAAGAGTGTCTGAGGTGAACTCACAGAAACGTAGACCGCGGCGAAGGCCGACAGCGTGGCGTGCTGAGAGGGGAACGTCTTCCTGTCAAACAAACAAGACACACAAGACACTTTAGACACTTTAGACACTTTAGACAGAAGGAGAAGAGGAAATAATGTCTCTAAGTGTATTACACTTAAAAAGGCTGAAAAAAACAGCTGATAACATGAAAACACTTATGACATTGCCAGAGTAGGTAGAGTGTACAATGAGCAAGCTGGAATATAGCGTCCATAATTGTGCATGCGTGTAAAACTATATGTATGTTAGATACAATCAAATCAAGGGATAAATGGTCACATTTATGCCACCTACACACACACACGCACACAGGCACGCACACACGCACATGCACACAACTGTGGGAGCTGCGATCTCACTTGCCATCCTGTGGGTCAGTGGAGCGGGAGTGGGATACAAACCACCAACCTTGAGATCAGAAGATGAGCACTTGACCAACTGACCTAATATAATGATATTACAACTCTTCTCTTCCCTTCATAAATATATACTGTATAGTCATGTAGTCATGTAGTACAGTAATATAGTCATATGAACGTTCTCTGTGATGTGGAATTCAGGGCTGGCTGTAGCTGTGGACCTCCTCCACCCTCATTCAAACCTATTACTTCATACAAACCACACACATACCTCTGTATTTGCCCATCTAAATGTTCAGCCTGCCCAGACTCAGCAGGCTAGAACTGGGCCTGAAGTATAATTTCTTCTATAATTTCCATTTCTTTTTCTTCCATAGAATTTAAATATTAAAAGATTTTCCAGCTATAGGCTCACTAATGTGCATAACACAGCTCCATAACACTGTGGTTCCACGCACACCCTGGGTTACAAGTGAGCTGTCACATTTCCCAAAGAACCATATTCAAATCTGACCAACTGACCACTGCTGTAACAAATGCTCTGAGACAAATATAGGCTCCTGTAACCTATGACTCTATATATACACTATATATTACACTGTAATTATTAACTCTTATAATAAAAGATGCTGTGGTGAGATTTAAACAAGCCAAAGGTCAGATGCAGCGCACAGGTCACAAAGGTCTAAATCCTAAATCCTGCGCCCTCTTTATCATCTGTAATGGGCCCACAGACCGTGTATAAATGGACATAGTTAATGCGCTAGCCACTGTGTTCCAAATAGGAAGTTCTAATGTGGCTCTTCTGGCTCCTTCTGACCCCTGCTCCCATTGATTTAAAACAGAATATTGTGGCTCCTCTCTCTGTACCTGCTGCTGTGAGCCTCGTCATTTTGATCTTAAAATGTTCATATTAACCCACACTACATGATCCTGGTGGGCTTTTTTTCTACTATTTTGTCCATCAAAAAAATGCTAATCATGAGCCTGGCTCCAGATTCTCTTGTGTAACCGATGGCCTTAGTGAGGCTCATTTGACTGAAGCTGAACTCTGTGGGTCACACATACAGTCTGCACCTGAGCCCTGCACTTGGCGTGCTGTGGGTGTGTGTACAGCGTGGGTACCTGGCGGCCATGATGGCGTGCTGGTCGTGCCCGGAGCAGATGTCTTTGGTGATGTAAGGGTTCTGGTCACATGACACGCCGCTCTGGGTGTAGTTGGGTTTGCACACGGTCAGGAAGAAGGGGGCGTGGTATCCTGTGGCCAGCTGGATGATGTCAGTGACCAGAGCCGTGGCACACAGGCCGAACACGTGCACGCCTGAGGAGGAACAGAGGAGGATTTTCACATGTGACGCTTTGGGACAATCTGTAGACATGTTGTTGATATTTCACAGCTGATGTCCTCCACATCCCCTGAGGTGTGATGCTAACTGTAGACACTGCTCTGTCTCAAGCTTTGTTATTCAAGTTAGACTTTAATCTGAGTTTTGTGTCTACACAAACTGACCATAAAGAACTGGAATTACAGCAGATGAGCTGATTTGTGCTGTTACACAAATCTCTCTCAAACAACATTACAGTCACCAGCTAGCTAGCATTAGCCAACAGTTTTTCAGTTTTTCTCACCTTTTTGTTGAAAATCACACGTCTAAACTGAACCATGAAAGCTCGTATTGATCACAGGTTCCTGAAAATGTGTTGCTTAAATCCATTTAGTATTTTTTCCTGCGTTTTAAGACAGTATTGTCTGTATTTGACAGTGTTTGCTAATGTGTGCATTGTGTCTCCACGGTAACAGCTACAATACAAATACATGTAGAACACCTCCAGCGCGATGTCACTGCAAAGCAACAATTCTGTTCTTGCACATGTTTGTTCATTCACACACTGGACACTGATCTCACATGTGGATGGACCACAGCGGCTGCTAGAGGCACAGACTGACAGCCATGCTTCCACCAGTTTGCCCCAGGGCAGATGTGGACATGAGTAAGAAACAAGTCCATTGTCAGTATGTTGAGAGCACCACGTGTGTGACGTGTGCAGCGTGTGGGCGGTGTGTGGGCGTGTGGGCGTGCGTGTGCGGCGTGTGGGCGTGTGGGAGTGTGTGTGTGTGTGCGGTGTGTGGGTATGTGGGTGTGTGAGGCTTGTGGGCGTGTGCGGCGTGTGGGTGTGTGCAGCGTGTGGGCGTGTGTGTGGCGTGTGTGTGGCGTGTGTGTGCGGCGTGTGGGCGTGTGCGGCGTGTGGGCGTGTGCGGCGTGTGCGTACCTACGAAGCGGACGGTGCGCCGGAGGAAAGAGTTGTGAAGTTGCAGCCCCCTGCGTTAATGCTCCCCTCAGGACGACGCAGCTTCAGCCGAGACTGAAGGCAGTAGATCAAACCCTCCACCACCATGATCTGAACAGACAACACACAACAGTCACACAACAGTCACACACACCACCATGATCTAAACACACAACACACACACAACACACACACAACAGTCACACACAGTCACACACAGCACACACAGTCACAGTGCAGCAGGGGCACAGGAGAACAGACTCATTCATTACTGTACATTTCAGACAATCTGCCCCTTTAAAAAAACTGTTACTGCTTGATTTGGCACCTTTTTCTTTCAGCCTTAATTCTTTTAAACGTGTTTATTCTGTGTTCTGTCACTGTAGCCACAAGTGCTCCTCAGCTTCAGTCTGTTCATATGAAAGTTTGGCAAGGTCACTGACTTTATTCTTTAAAGTTTGCTGTTTTACTCCAGTCAGACTTTACTCAGCTTTACTCTGTTTTTTAACCTTTCTTAACACTCTAAATACATCATTTCATTTCAAGAGCTTTGAGCAAATATTCATCACAAAAACTTTTATATTCCAAGAGAATTATTTGCAAAATTAAGAAAATACAAAAACAGTGCTTAGTGCCAAAGTCTCTGGGCATGCCCAGCTTGAAAAACGCTGCCAAATAAGGTGAGGTTCCAAATAGGGCAATGACAGTTGCTCCTGACCATAGTTGTTTTTTAAGGACTACCAGGGCCAAACCAAGACTACAAAGGACCAATCTGTGATGCAATTTTATGATCTGACCGATGCGGCGGGTCCAGCGAAGGCCAGGCTCAGCAGCATGAGCAGAGGTATGAGCTCGTCTCCTCCGTCCACATAGGGCATGCTTAGGTCGCGGTCATGGCAACGGAAGCCCACCTGAGCGGGCTGCACCAGGTCTGTGAGCTCCAGGAAGTACAGAGACACCATGGACGAGGCCACAATGGGCAGCTGCTCACAGAACACGACAGGGACATGACAGGGACACAAGAATACTCGTCAATTCACAACTTGCATACAGTATATACACACTATTATATTTAGACATTAGTACAAACTATAACATACAGCAATTATAGTAGCAGTAGTAGTAGTAGTTTATTTTCTTCAGTCTTGTTCTTAATCCTGTACTTAATAGATTGTTACAAACATTTCACATAAAACTATGACAGGAGGGGTTTAGGCTGAAGTGAAATCACTTATGATTATCATTCTTATAACTTTTGTTGACTGACACGCCTCTTCAACATTGCGTGGCGGTCGGGGACAGTACCTCTGGACTGGCAAACCGGGGTGGTGGTCCCTCTGTATAAGAAGGGGGACCGGAGGGTGGGTTCCAACTATAGGGGGATCACACTTCTCAGCCTTTCCGGTAAGGTCTATGCCAGGGTACTGGAGAGGAGAATCCGGCCGATAGTCGAACCTCGGATTCAGGAGGAGCAGTGTGGTTTTCGTCCTGGACGTGGAACACTGGACCAGCTCTACACTCTCCATCGGGTGCTCGAGGGTTCATGGGAGTTTGCCCAACCAGTCCACATGTGTTTTGTGGATCTGGAGAAGGCATTCGACCGTGTCCCTCGTGGTGTCCTGTGGGGGGTGCTCTGGGAGTATGGGGTCCGGGGCCCTTTGCTAAGGGCTGTCCGGTCCCTGTATGACCGGAGCAGGAGCTGTGTTCGTTGCCGGCAGTAAGTCAGACCTGTTCCCGGTGCATGTTGGACTCCGCCAGGGCTGCCCTTTGTCACCGGTTCTGTTCATTGTATTTATGGACAGAATTTCTAGGCGCAGTCAGGGGCCGGAGGGGGTCCGGTTTGGGGACCACAGGATTTCATCTCTGCTGTTTGCGGACGATGTTGTTCTGTTGGATTCATCGAACCAGGACCTGCAGTGTGCACTGGGGCGGTTTGCAGCCGAGTGTGAAGCGGCTGGGATGAAGCTCAGCTCTTCCAAGTCCGAGGCCATGGTTCTCGACCGGAAAAAGGTGGCTTGCCCTCTCCGGGTGGGTGGGGAGTCTTTGCCTCAAGTGGAGGAGTTCAAGTATCTCGGGGTCTTGTTCACGAGTGAGGGAAGGACGGAACGTGAGATTTACAGGCGGATCGGTGCAGCTTCGGCAGTGATGCGGTCGCTGTATCGGACCGTTGTGGTGAAGAGGAGCTGAGTCGAAAGGCGAAGCTCTCGATTTACCGGTCAGTCTTCGTTCCTACTCTCACCTATGGTCATGAGCTCTGGGTAGTGACCGAAAGGACGAGATCGCGGATACAAGCGCTCGAAATGAGTTTCCTCCGCAGGGTGGCTGGGCGCTCCCTTAGAGATAGGGTGAGGAGCTCAGTCACATGGGAGGAGCTCGAAGTAGAGCCGCTGCTCCTCCACGTCGAGAGGAGCCAGTTGAGGTGGCTCGGGCATCTGTTCCGGATGCCTCCTGGGCGCCTCCCTCGGGAGGTGTTCCGGGCATGTCCCGCCGGGAGGAGGCCCCGGGGAAGACCCAGGACACGCTGGAGGGACTCTCTCGGCTGGCCTGGGAACGCCTCGGGGTCCCCCCGGAGGAGCTGGAGGACGTGTCTGGGGTGAAGGAAGTCTGGGAGTCCCTGCTTAGGCTGTTCCCCCCGCAACCCGGCCCCGGATAAGCGGACGAAAATGGATGGATGGATGGAACTTTTGTTCACTGTAAACTGTATTGATCTAAAAGAGTTTAAAGGGCCCATATCACACTATTTTCTAATCTTTGTTAGAATATTGCTTCTTCAGCACACACAGACCTGGAGTTGTGTTTTGTTTTATTCTCACATGTTTAACACACAAACGCTGCACATTTAGGTTGAGTTCTTCTCTCAAACTGAAAACACTCTGTTGTGATGTGGTAGGACGTGTTTCACTGTGTTTTAAGCTCCACACACCTTCACTAGAATCTTGTGAACATTTTGGTAATTTCAGCCCTGGAATTGCCAATTTCACCTGAAGTAAAGGTTAAAGAAGCTGTTCATTTGAATTTGATGATCTGTGAACTTAAAAACTACAGCCTCATGTGAGGGTGGAACAGAGCATTTTGAGTTTTGGAGATGCAGACTAACAATAAAGAATTATTCAAACATGTGTGAATGAAACAAAACACAACTCCTGGTCTGGGTTTTATGAGGTAACTTTATAACAAGACTTAAAGATCACCAGAGTCAGTTTTGTGTAATATACACGTTTAAGAATACACAGGACGTTTAAGAATAGAAACAGGATCACTGACTGCATTTCAGCATCACCATCAAACCTCAGTTTTTAGTCTTCAAAAATGGCTTTGTGATGTTTTTAAACCTGTTGTTGGTGTGTTGTTGTGTTGTGTGGTGTTGTGTGGTGTTGTGTGGTGTTGTGTGGTGCTGTGTGGTGTTGTGTGTTGTGTTGTGTGGTGTTGTGTTTCCATAGATGATGTCTGAGTTTGAGTTCTGTGCTGTTCATGAGAGTGAGGAGCAGCAGATGGAGAAAGGACAGGAGTTGTGCTCCATCTGTTCCTCTCTTCCTCTCTAGACTGTTCCTCTCTTCCTCTCTAGACTGTTCCTCTCTTCCTCTCTAGACTGTTCCTCTCTTCCTCTCTAGACTGTTCTCTTCCTCTCTTCCTCTGTTCCTCTGTTCCTGTGTTCCTCTCTTCCTGTGTAGACTGTTGTGCTTGGGGAGCTGAGTCTGGTTGGGTTTTACACATTTGGACAGTGCTCATACAGAATCTCAAAGTCGCTTTATAATTGAGTGCAGGGTTCATTCACTCCATACCTGGTGGTGTGGAGTGAATGGACATGACTGTTACAGCCACAGCTGCCCTGGGGCAGGCTGATGGAAGCAAGGCTGCCAATCTGCACCACCAGCCCCTCCAACACACACCACATTCATACTAGACAACGTGGGCGAAGTGTCTTGCCTAACAATAGTTTGCAGTAGAGTCACGCTGGTGTTCCTGCTGGTCTGGCACTGCTTAGATCAGATCTGCTTTGACCAGGAGGTTTGGCCACACGATTACCAATCTGACATTTCCAACACTGAAGTGTTTTATGGCAAGACAAATAAAACAAATCCACACATCATGATTTCTTTGTGAGCAAACCAAATATGATGCTGTTTTCGATGTAATATGGAATATTGTCAGTAGAGTCGGGGTCACAGAGCACGAGTAGAGCTCTGTTTGGGAGGTGCACTTGTGGAGATAGTCTCTCTTTTTCTGCAGCGACTCTTTATAAGACAAGTTTAACTGAAGATGAAAACAAGTAAGTTCCTTTTGAAAATGTTTTCAAAGTTTGGTGCAGCGTCTTCACTCACACCTGCTCAAGTCGACATCTTCAGGTGCGGCCCTGTCCTGCCGCTTCCCCAGTTTAGTCTCCTGGTTCCACTAATGACATCACTCTGTTACAGCCAATGAAACAGCGGCAGGAGTAACCCTGTCGTCATATCACTGAATACATCTCAGAACATTTAATAAACAAAATGTGAACTAAAACCTGTTCAGTTAATACTACTGAGTTTGGAAAAATATCAGAATAAATGTATATTTTTGTTGATTAAAGAGCGAGAGCAGCACACATGTACACTTTGGCGTCTAGTTCCAGGGCAGGCCTCAGAGGAACAGTGATCGTTGTGATTGTGCACGTGTGGTTTTCTCACCTCCACAAAGTAGAAACATGGCAGCAGCGTGAGACTGTCCTTTGGAGGCTTCTTCTTCAGCTTCTCTGGAGACGTCATCATCATTCTGACCGATCTGCAACACACACACACACACGCGTTTCAGTGCTTTTGGGGAAGTCGTGTTAGAATGTTGTTCTCTCCTCAAAAACAGACCTGGAGTTGTGTTTTGTTTCATTCACACATGTTTGAGTAACCATTTATTATTAGTCTGTCTACATCTCCAAAGCTCAAAATGCTCTGTTACACCTTGTGATGTCATGTAGTGGTAGTTTTCAAGTGAATAGCTCCTTTTCCCATCAGTTCAGTAGAGATCGGCAATTCCAAGGGCTGAAACCATCCAAATGAATCTAGTGGAGGTGTGTGGAGTTTAAAAACACAGTGGAGCACTTCCTTTAATACCATTACAAGGTGGAACAGAGTGTCAGCCTAAATGTGTGTGTTAAACATGTGCGAATGAACCAAAACACAACTCCATGTCTGTTTGTGATGAGGAAAGGTCATAGATCAAAAATAGCAGAAGATCTTTTATCGTAACATATTTCAACATATGAACTTTAAACATGATGAGGAACTGATGCTTGTCCTCATCAGAGAGGCGAGTCCCCATGATGTGAGTAAGTGTACAGGTTTGAGTCGCCACAGTGTAATACAAGACTCACTGTCATCATGTTCTCATCAAAACCCTGCGCCACTGAAGGACGGCTGGAAAGCACACACCCACGACATTGTGGCTGAGTGGGAAACAGTCACCTCACAGCAAAAAGGGACCCTCCAGTCATTTGTGTGTGCAGGTTTGGATTGGTAATCTGCACTACTGCGAAAATGCCCGAGGGCCTGGGCACCTCAGACCACATTTGGGCCAGTGCCTCCCGAATTGAGCACCACCCCCCAGTCCTCAATTTCCACCATCCTGATTTGAGCACCTCCCCGCCCCAGCAGCACTGAAGGATGGGTCAAGTGCAGAGGATAATCTGATTGGGGACAATAAAAGTCTACCCACCTCTGCTGTATAATGGCGACCCTGCCGGGACTCGAGCAGGTGAGTGCTTCTCCAGCACAGGGAAGTTTCACACAGAGCATGAGATGAGGAGTTATAGTTCAGAGCTGGCTCACCCATGGACTAAACACATGGCTCATTTCAATTCCAAGATTATTCAACATAACAGATATAAAACTCCACATAATAACAGAACAGACCTTATGAGATGATCCAAACCGTGCAGGACTAAAACAGCCCAAACAGAGACACAACAGAACACAGGCTCTTCCACACATTGGAGCTCATTTGCAGGTTTTGCAGCAGTCTTTGTGCGTGCGCCTGATAGATTACCCGCTGCAACGCCGCACGCACACGCGGCACACACGGCACACACTGCACACACGGCACACACTGCACACACGCGCTGGAGGCTGTGTGGACAAACCTATGAAGCGAAACGCCGTGCCGTGTTTCCAGCGTTCATCAATTAAGCCCGGGCCAATCAGAGCGCGGCGCTGAGTCTGTGTCGTAAATCTCCGTTTAAATGTCAGACAGACGCCTCACGCACGCGTACTGCAGTACACGTGCACGCTGCAGGAGCGACAGCCCTTCACGCCAACGGCGGCAGCCTCTATGGATCCCGTTAA